CGAATTCAGAGTAAAACAAGGTTATCATAAGATAGAAAGTAAATCTTAATTAATAAAAATCCCATTACCACTAATTTAACATATTTCTTTAACATAACGTAAGTCTATTAGTTTAATTTTAAATTCTTTATGATGTCATCAACATTTTTACACATTTCTTCATTGTCGGAGAATTCGTCCACTGCGTAAACAGATTGAAATAAATCTTTATGTTGGTCATTCACTTTTTCCAGTCTGTTTTCATTATTAACTAAAGTATCAACCATCTCATTGATGATATTGTCTGCCGTCTGAATTGAGGATCCTTCATCAATTCCGATGGATTCTTCAATCTTTATTCTTATATAATCTTGAACGTAAATAAATCCCTTGACCGCAGTTGTTATCGTTCTCATTAAACAGTTGTTACATTTTTCTTGATGATCAATATAATATCCGATACCAACACGAATAGGTATATCAAATCCATTCAACTCTTTGAACAACGCATCGATTGTGTAGAAAGTCACCTCTATTGCTGAACCTTGTATTATATCGGCAACAATCGATTGATGGATTTGTAAAGCCAACCGGGTTTTAAATAGTTCAAGATGTTTATTAAATGTTAATCCCATTTCCTTTTGTTCATCCATTAGCTGAATAATCTTTTCAACCAATGTATCAGATAGGTGCATAAATTCATAAAAAATTTGATGATCAAAATATAAACTTTTAGACATTCTGAAAAAATCATTTGAGCTTTTAACTAATAACATTTTATAATTTACAAACATTTATATACATTTCATTCTGTTTATCGGGACTTTCTGCACTGTCGCATAACCTCCTTAATTCTCGTTATTTCGTAATTGCTTGATTCTTTTTCTCTTGTCCATTGATATGAGATACCCCCTGCGTCATCAATTTGAGGTTGTGTCCGTCCTTTTTTATGCTGTTTATAGATGTCAACAGTTAATTGAGAATCAATTAGCGGACTATGTCCTTTAGATTCGGTATCGTACTCTTGTATATATTTATTTTTAATACTATAGGATAATGTCTTCAAACCGATTTTGTCATTTTTACCATTTTTGCCGTGAAATATAGGTTGAATATCGGTTATTTTCTTAATGGACTTATAGTCACTTAATCCCATTACTTTAAGATCTTTTGAGATATCAGCTCCAAGAATGTGATATCTCTCCAGATAATAGATAACGTGATCTTTCGCTTCTTGAAGACTTATTCCCTGTGTCATTTGGCCATTAGTGACACCAGAGTATTTGGTCATTGGGTTTACATCTTTCGGGTTTTGATAAATAAAACAATGAAAAATACAATTACTTTTCAAGCCGTATTTAATCAATTGTCGAGTTCTTAATCTACTACAGATTGCGACACGTATAGGAACTAACCCATTGCTCTTTTTATTTTTCCCACATTCAATATCGAAGCCCAACTCAACGTCTAAAGGAGGATCCTTATCTTTATGTACCGACAAATTAATCAAATCTATTTTTGGAAGTTTCTTCTGCGTACCTCTCTTTGTTCTCCCGAACCTCTTATTAGATCGTGACGTATTTTTATATTTTACTTCATTATCCTTTAAATTACTTTTATCTACACTTTGAGAAATCATTCTGAGATCCTTAATTTGTTTACTATCAATCTGCACAATAATTTCATCGTGTTTCTGTGAAGTAATGCCATAATTCACTCTGTTATTTGGTTCCACGTCACTTGTATCGGACATTTTGTATTCACTTTTATATTTCCGATGTTCTTGAAATTCGTAACTTATTCTCTCGGCATTGTACTTTCCTAGATTGAAGTCTTCTGAAACACGAACACGACAGCATAGTATACAAACTACATCCGTCGGATGAATCGATGATTTATTACATGTTTCTTTACATTTATTAATGTAATTATAGTAATCATCCAGCTTTTTATAAAAAAGAACCTCTGAATCTTTTGTTTTCTTGATTGATATACGCAAAGAGTTACCAAACTTTCTTTTATACATAACTTGTTTAAATTTCGCTATCATTGATTGTAACGAAAACTTAAGAGATTCCACAACGACTAATTTTTCACATAATCTCTTTGAAATCATTGGGTTTCGATATATCATTTGATTAATATTCTTTATTTCCTCCAATATAATGTCATTCCACACCTTAAGTTTCGATCTATATTCCTCATCTCTTTCAAATTCTCCTGAAGTTATTTTATCTTTCGCGTCGTTGGGGTTTTTTCGGGTTACCATCACTGCATAAACATAACAGACGCATTATAAGCTTTTGGAACTGATTCCATGTGTTTAATGCAGCGCGGGACAGAAACTTTATAATCGGGTGCTCGCGACACGCTGGCACACCGTAGTCTCGTTGCTGTTTTGGGTGTTTCAGCTCACCGTCTGTTATATTTCTGGTGTACAGCACACCACTGTTTATTAAGATGTACAGCTCATCTCACAAATGTTGTCCATTGACCATTTCTCGTCTACCATCGAAATCGAAGGACCGGACGATTTGTTTTTTTTTTTTTTTATATTTATAATTTTTATTTTTTGGACAAAAGACAAACAATAAACGATGACAAACAACGTCGCATCCTGGTTGGCTCGCCAAAAATGTAGCAATTTCCGTGCGGTAATTCACTAATATAGGTTGAGAGATAGTCCTCTGTTAAAGTCGCGCTTACTATCACCTTCTCCAGCGGTAAAGTTGACACAGAAGCTACACGGATCATCATCACCACGATGATGACACCCTCAACAACAGTGATCGCAACGCATTTGCATTTATATTCATAATTTATAATTCAAAAGTGCCTTATATGTACTAAAATTATCACTTACAAAGTAAACCTCACTTAGCTTTGATTATGTCGAGCCGTTACGATCCTGCCGTTTGTTCCGCTGTCTCGTTGTTTGACATCTCTTGTTTACTATCTATACTCACGATATACACTTATAATACATACCGATTACTTACTCTAACTTTATCATACTTAACCTATGTCCGACTCTTCAGTCAGAACTACTACTTAGATCTATGTTTTCATAGATCTAAACCCATTATTTGACTATTACAGTCTGCAAATATGTCTCGATCGGTGTTTCCACCGAGAGACAAACCTTAAGGTAACATTTCTGTTACCTACTAAATCTATGTCTCGATCGGTGTTTCCACCGAGAGACAAACCTTAAGGTAACATTACTGTTACCTACTAAATCTATGTCTCGATCGGTGTTTCCACCGAGAGACAAACCTTAAGGTAACATTTCTGTTACCTACTAAATCTATGTCTCGATCGGTGTTTCCACCGAGAGACAAACCTTAAGGTAACATTACTGTTACCTACTAAATCTATGTCTCGATCGGTGTTTCCACCAAGAGACAAACCTTAAGGTAACATTACTGTTACCTACTAAATCTATGTCTCGATCGGTGTTTCCACCGAGAGACAAACCTTAAGGTAACATTTCTGTTACCTACTAAATCTATGTCTCGATCGGTGTTTCCACCGAGAGACAAACCTTAAGGTAACATTACTGTTACCTACTAAATCTATGTCTCGATCGGTGTTTCCACCGAGAGACAAACCTTAAGGTAACATTTCTGTTACCTACTAAATCTATGTCTCGATCGGTGTTTCCACCGAGAGACAAACCTTAAGGTAACATTACTGTTACCTACTAAATCTATGTCTCGATCGGTGTTTCCACCGAGAGACAAACCTTAAGGTAACATTTCTGTTACCTACTAAATCTATGTCTCGATCGGTGTTTCCACCGAGAGACACACCTTTGGATAACATTTATGTTATCAAATATACCTAAGACTGACTATTTCAGTCTGAAACTATGTCTCAATCGGTGTTTCCACCGAGAGACAAACCTTAAGGTAACATTACTGTTACCTACTAAATCTATGTCTCGATCGGTGTTTCCACCGAGAGACAAACATTAAGGTAACATTACTGTTACCTACTAAATCTATGTCTCGATCGGTGTTTCCACCGAGAGACAAACCTTAAGGTAACATTTCTGTTACCTACTAAATCTATGTCTCGATCGGTGTTTCCACCGAGAGACAAACCTTTGGATAACATTTATGTTATCTAATATACCTAAGACTGACTATTTCAGTCTGAAACTATACCATGATCCGAGGTTTGCCTCGGATCAAAGCCTGATCTACACTCCTGCAGGTCGGCATACTCTACATGTCCTACCTATGCTCCCATAGGCAGACATAATACATGCCGAATCTACGCTCCCGCAGATTGGCATACCTTAAACTAAAACTTACTTATAGTTGAATCCGTGCTGAGTTGCTGATGTAGTGCGCTCCTGTTTCCGTTTGATGATGACTTTATTAATAACACTAATACTTACATTATAAACTCTGATAATCATACTTACTTAATTAACCTTTAAATTACTTCGCTAGCTTACACTTTCTTAAGGGACTCAGGGCCAAAGGCCCGAGCCCCTCGAAACACTTACTCTTTAGTTGTGTTAAATCCCTTTATTTATGTGTTTCAAGTATAAAAAACAACTAGAGTACAACACTTCACGTCTATTCACTCTGAAGACTTGATGAGAACTCTCTGAGAGTTAGTAAAACACTAACTCTCTTCACAGTGAAAACATAGCGATCACGCATGTATGCGCTGTCGACTTATTTTTCTATTACTGACTTTTCAATATGACGTGATTATACCTAATTGGCTATACATCTAGTTTCGTATATTTAATAGTTAAGCCCTATTTTACCTCTACACCCATTATTCTAAATGCAGTTTAACTCAAACTGAACCTATAATTGATATATCTTTATGGAACCTAAACTTATACTATTTTTCATATAACATTCTCGTTATATTTATAGTATTCAAATAAATCTAAGAGTACCTGTGATAATCATTAGGAGCCGACATCGGCCAAAACAAGATTAGCCCTCTCACCGCCTTAATCTTGACCTAATCCACGTGGTATATCACAATATCAATGTAACAATCAGTACGTAACATTGGACTCGGTTAGCACGTGGCACGTGTATAATCGGGAAAATAAGCTAGCTAAAAATTGTCAACAAAGTCAATACCGGGTCAATGAGGAAATCAATGATAAAGTTTCCGTATATTTTGGTGACATAACAGCCCTTGAAGTCGATGCCATAGTTACGTCAGCCAACCGTCGACTGGCACCTGGAGGTGGAGGTATAGCCTATCTATTAATATATATATATATGACTATTGTTATTACACACATATACATACATACATATACATACATACATATACACACACATACATACACACACTCATACATTCACACACTTACACACATACATACACACACTCATACATACACACACACACATATACACACACAAACACACACATACACACACATACACACATACAAAGTCTAACTTATTTTGTTTAATTATTTAACAATTTTTTGTATTTTTTTATTAATTAATTTATCTTTCAAGTCGATCGGGCCATACGTACGGCTGCCGGCTATGATATGATTGATGCCGAGTGTCGGTCACTAAACGGCTGCCAAATGGGTATGTGTCGGGTGACGGGTGGCTATCGATTGCCAGCTAAATGTTAGTATAGTTAGCCCAACAAAAAAAATGTCATTAAAATTAATTTACTTCAAAATACTAAATACCTATTTATTTTTATTACTGTAGATGTTATACATGCTGTCGGACCAGTAGTCAACAGCACCGGTAGTACTTATAGTGGTGGATCACTACAGCAGCCACCTAACAATGATCATCTATTGGTTGGCTGTTATCAGCACCTGCTAGACCTGGTAGCCTACAGGGGCTGGAAATCGGTAGCCATACCATGTATATCGGCCGGTGCTAAAGGCTATCCACACGATAGGGCCGGACATATAGCTTTGAGGACAGTACGCCAATGGCTTGAATCGAATCCATATGCTAGTAGATTGGACAGGGTCATATTTTGTCTATACCAACAACAAGATCTAGATGTCTATACTAAGCTAATGATAGAGTATTTTCCAGTATTTATTAAAAGTAACCTTGCTAGTTTTTTTTATAAAAAAATATCTGTGTTTAATTTAAATATAATAAATTAATTAGTGTTACAACTACCATGGTTAATTAATTAAGTAATTAATTAATTTGTTTTTTTTATCTATAAATATTTATAAGTTATAGTTTTTATATTTAATTTTTTTTTAAATTAGTAATATTGTAATTAATTGGAAAAATAATAATTTCATATTAATCATTTTTGTTTTATTAAAATTAAATAATTTTATCAATTACTAAATATAATATTAATATAATTATTTTAAAAATATAATGTAATTTTATTTCTAAAAATTATTTATTTAACATAATTTTTTCTATTAAAAAATATTATATTTTATAATTATTTTTATATATAAAAAAATATATTTCATCACAAAAATATAATTATAAAATTTATTATCATTTATTTTTAATTACAACTGTATTAATCTGATTACAAGGTTGTACAAACATAATATAATATTTTATATGAATATTATGTGTGTATATGTATTACATGTTATATAATAATAATAATAATAATAAATATCAAACAATTTTAAGTAAAATGTATTTATAATAATTTTTAATAAACATTTTTTCTTTTAAAAAATACATTATAAAATTTTACAAACATTATTATTATGTTATGTATTGTATTTTTTTAAATGTAATATTAATCTAAAAAATTATAATAACTATTTTATTACAGTATATATATATTATATTAATAGTTAATTTATAAAATATTACAAAAATTATTAAATTTAATACTATTTTTTAACAACATTTAATTTTGAAAAATTTTTTAAAAAACTATTAAAAATATTTTAGTGATGACAAATATATTTAACTAATAACTATATAATATTATATATTTAACTACAGTAAATAACATTAAAATTATTATTATTATTATTTAATTTATTGATTGCTGAAAATAAAAAACAACTAAATGTAATGATTTTTATTTTATTTTTTGTTGAATTAAAATTCAACATAAATAATATATATACTAATTATTTTTTTTAATAAAAAAAACTATTACTGGGCAAACATTTATTAATTAATTAATTAAAATTTATTATTATTATTATTTTTAATTTTTAATAGACAACTATCCCCTACTATTACGCGATGACCTTGGTCTTTGGGGATTAGCATTACTTTTATAACGTATACGTTGCATAACAGTAGGCTGTCCTCCTCCATCACTACCGCCGGGCAATGATGATGACTGTTGGGTACCGTTATTAGCACCACCACTACCACCACCACCACCATGTCCTCCATGTCCACCATGACCACCGTGACCGCCATGTCCACCTCCGACAATATAATGATAACCATGGCCTAGCTTATAGCTACCGTGACATGCTGTAAATATAGTTAATTAATTTTATTATTAATATAATTAAAAAAAATTAGCATAAAAAATAATAGAATTATTATAATTAATATTATAATTTTTAAAAAATTAATAAAAATATAATTTAGTTTTAAAATTAATAAATAATATAATTTAGTTTTAAAATTAATAAAAAATATAATTTGTTTTAAAATTAATAAAAATATAATTTTTTTATAATTAATAAAAATACATTTTTTAAATATATTTTATTATTATTATTATTATTATTTATTAACTTACCAAATACATCATTGATAATGTATATTATTGAAATTAATATGATTGAAATAATTTTTAAATTTATTAAAAATAGCATGGTAATTTATATTTAAAAACTAAATGTTATAAGTTTTTTTTAGATAAAACAATTTAATTAAATAATTTTCATCTAAACTGATTTGTATGTCTGTAATAAAAATATTTTATTTATTTTATTATTTTTTTTTGAAAAACCAACTAATTATGTTAAAACAATTATTATAATAACAAAAAAAAAATAAAATAAAAACATGCAATCAATTAATCTAATTATTAAAACAGCTTAACAATAGTTAAACATATTTCTGTCTAATAATGCAATAATAATAATAATAATAATAATAATAATAATAATAATAATACATTAAAACAAACAGTTCAAGCACTATCACAAAGAATCAGAAGATATAAACAACAAAGCGAAAGACGAAAACAAAATACAATGTTCTATAATAACGAAAAAATGTTCTATAGAAATCAAAATAAAATAAATTCAAGCAATATTAACAATACACCACAAATAGATGAAATAGAAAACTACTGGAAAGAAATCTGGAGTAACCCAAAGGAATATAAAGAATCTAATTGGATAAATGATATTGAAGATGAAAATAAAGAAATACCACATATGACTTCAGTAAATATAATAAAAGATGACTTAACCGAAGCCCTCAAGAAATCCCACAATTGGAAAAGCCCAGGACAAGACAAAATACAAAACTTCTGGTACAAACACTTTACAACAATACATGAACCAATGGCAATAGCAATGGATAAAATAATACAAACAGGACAAACCGATGACTTCCTCACTTCCGGAATAACATATCTACTCCCAAAAACAGAAAATACATCAGATCCCAGCAAATATAGACCAATCACTTGCCTAACAACAATGTATAAAATCCTAACATCCATAATATCAACAAAAATATATAATCATTTAAGCAACAAAAACATAATAGCTGAAGAACAAAAAGGCTGTATAAAACACTCAATGGGCTGTAAAGAGCAATTAACAATAGACAATATCATAACAATAAGAGCTCGTCAAAAACATAGAAATCTTGAAATGGCATACATAGACTATAAGAAAGCATTTGATTCAGTCCCACATAAATGGTTATTAAGAGTGTTAAAACTATATAAAATTGACAACACACTGATAAACACACTAGAAAATATGATGAAAAAATGGAAAACTAAATTGTGTGTCAATATAAATAATGGAACAAAAATAAGTACAGAAATTAAAATAAACAGAGGAATATTTCAAGGCGACTCGCTCAGTCCTCTGTGGTTCTGCTTAGCCTTAAATCCACTGTCATCATTACTCAAAAAGTTAAAAGGCGTAAATCTAAAGTCAAATGATACAAAATATAATCTAACACATCTACTATATATGGACGATTTAAAACTATACGCCGAAAAAGAATCTGATTTAAATGCAATGTTAAAAACAACAGAAACTTTCTCCAATGACATAAATATGGAATTTGGATTAGATAAATGTGCTATAATGAAATTGAAAAGAGGTGTCTACTCAGAGAGACCTGAGTACGAAACTGATAATGGATATATAAAGGCACTAGAAAATGGAGATATATACAAATATTTAGGTATTAAACAAATGCATAAATCTAAAATGACAGCAGTTAAAGAAGAAATAAAGAAAACATTAAATCAAAGAATCATTAAAATACTAAAATCTCAACTAAACTCAAACAACAAATTCAAAGCCATAAACACTTGGGCAATACCTGTACTGACATACTCGTTCGGAATAATAAAATGGAGTAAAACAGAACTCGAGACCATCGAAAGACATATAAGGCGACAACTTACAATGTTTGGAGTACACCACCCTAGAAGTTCTGTAGCACGACTATGTGTTAGTAGAAAACATGGGGGTAGAGGGTTACTAAACATTGTAAGCCTTGAGGCCAAACAGCGAGAACTGTTGAGAAAATACCATCAACAAAAATGCTATGTCTCAGAGCTCCACAAAATAACATCAACACTCGATTACAACTACACACCTCTAAACCTCAGCAATATTGAACATCAAATAGGTATACAAAATGAAAAAGAGAGGATTAACACATGGGCCTCAAAAGAACTCCACGGAAGATACCGGGCAGAACTCAACCAAACACACGTAGACGAAGAAATGTCTACAAAATGGTTGAAGTACGCCGGTCTTCACGGAGAGACAGAGGGGTTCATGATGGCAATACAAGATCGAGTGGTTCCGACCCGTAACCATCAGAAATATATCCAAAAGCTAAACATACCAACAGACAAGTGCAGGATGTGTCATATGGAGTCCGAAACAATAGAACATATACTAAATGGGTGTAAAGTACTCACAAATACCGAGTACCTAAGCCGTCACAATCAAGTAGCCAAGATCATACATCAGGAACTGGCAATAAGATTCGGACTAATCAAAGACCCATTACCATACTATAGATACGAGCCACAAAGTGTAATGGAAAACAACAGTGCCAAGCTCTACTGGGATAAAGAAATAAGAACTGATAAGACTGTGGCCCACAACCGCCCAGATATAGTCATAGTAGACAAACATCAAGATAAGGCGTATATAATAGACATAGCGGTCCCACTAACACATAAATTACAGGACACGCATTGTGAGAAACGTCGGAAATATACAGACTTGGCCTATGAGATCAATAAGATGTGGCGCATTAAGAAAGTTGAAATAATACCTATAATACTGTCATCAATGGCCGTAATACCGAAAAATCTGGCCCTAAGTATGGAATCACTTCAAATAAGAAAAACTAAGATCTATGAAATGCAAAAAGCAGTGATACTTCAGAGTTGTAGAACAGTCAGAAAAGTACTAGACTTGAGTTGAGTCTAACCAGTCGTGTCTCTGCCACCAAAAGTGGCCGACACAACTGTGATCACACCGGAACAACCGTGATATACAAAGATAATAATAATAATAATAATAATAATAATAATAATAATAATAATAATAATAATAATAATAATAATAATAATAATAATAATAATAATAATAATAATAATAATAATAATAATAATAATAATAATAATAATAATAATAATAATAATAATAATAATAATAATAATAATAATAATAATAATAATAATAATAATAATAATAATAATAATAATAATAATAATAATAATAATAATAATAATAATAATAATAATAATAATAATAATAATAATAATAATAATAATAATAATAATAATAATAATAATAATAATAATAATAATAATAATAATAATAATAATAATAATAATAATAATAATAATAATAATAATAATAATAATAATAATAATAATAATAATAATAATAATAATAATAATAATAATAATAATAATAATAATAATAATAATAATAATAATAATAATAATAATAATAATAATAATAATAATAATAATAATAATAATAATAATAATAATAATAATAATAATAATAATAATAATAATAATAATAATAATAATAATAATAATAATAATAATAATAATAATAATAATAATAATAATAATAATAATAATAATAATAATAATAATAATAATAATAATAATAATAATAATAATAATAATAATAATAATAATAATAATAATAATAATAATAATAATAATAATAATAATAATAATAATAATAATAATAATAATAATAATAATAGATATTAATTTAAAAATTTAAATTATATTATTAGTTTGTTTTGTATTATATTTGATTTTATTTAATTCTGAAAAAATAATTTTTAAACATATTTTATTTAAAAATATTATTAGTATTTGATTTAATTTTCAAAAAAAATAAAAGTGTTTTTTTTGTTGTTGAGTGATATTTAGTCTAATTAATAATTATTTGGTTTTTATATAACAATAATAACAAATTTAATAAATAATTACTAATATAACTGAATTTATATTTAAATTAGAAAAAAATGTTTATTATTAATAATTAAGAAAAACAATAAACATATAATTAATTTTTTTGTGAATAAAATTATTATATATATAAAATTTTTTTGTTATATAAAACTAATTTTATTTATAGATATAAAAGATTTTTATTGTTTTTTTATTGTTAATAATAATAAACATTTTTTGTTATATAAAACTAATTTTATCTATAGATATAATACTGTATATAATATTTTATAAATTATGTTAATTTTTAAATGTTTTTTAATTTGTAGGACAACTATCCTGCTGACCTTGACCTTGACCTTGCAGGGGGTGGTCGGGCGCTATTTCTATACATATTGCGTACCCGTTGTATAATATTAGGCCGTTGTCTACGTCCTGGTGACTGTTGGGTACCGTTACCACCATCACCACCACCGCCACCCCCACCACCGGTAGTCCCGTTACCACGGTTACCGACAACAATTACAAAAAAACATGCTAGTTAAAATAATTTTTAAAAATTCAAAAATTAGTAGTGATAATTTAAGATAATTTATTATTTTAATTCAAATAAACAAATAAATATAAATATGTGAAAAAAAATTAATAAGTTTATTAACTTACAAAATACATTGTTGATAATATATATTGTTAAAATTATTGTTATTAAAATTAATTTAAAATTAATTAAATTAGACATATTATAGTATATTTTATATTAATTTTTAATTTTATATCAAATATTTTATTGTTATTGTACTAAAAATATAACTTTACTACAAATTAATACTTAATTATATAATAATATTTAAATTGTTTTTTAAGGAAACAATTATATTTATTAGTTTAAATTATTAATTTTTTTAACTATTAATTTTGTTAAAAAATTATATCAAATAATTTCTTAAAAACATTGTATTTTATAATAATTTTTTTATCAAAACAGCTTAACAATAGTCAAACATTTAGTACATTTTTAAATAGTAATAGTAATAATAATATTATTATTATTTAATAAAAAATTTCGCAATTTGAACTTATTTTTTTTTAATTTTAATTAACAAAAATACTTAATTAAATAACATAATAAATGAAAACATTATAAAATTTTTTTATTTTATAAAAATTTATTACATAAAATACAATTATATTTTTTATTTTTTATTTAATACAAATTAATTAATTAATATATATATTAATATATATATATATATATATATGAAATTTAAAAAAAAAAAATAACTACAAAATCAAATCATAAATGCATTTAAAGATATTTTTATTTTATTCAATTTTAACTGTTTTTTCAAATTATTTGTTTTTTAAATAATTAAATTAAATTAATTTTTTTTTTGTATTTATTTAAATAATTGAAAAAAATTATCCTTTTTTGCTCATGGCACTTTTAGCTTTATCAACTAAACCACTACTACTACCACCACCACCACTACTTGATCTATGTGCTACAAAATTATCTGAACCACCCCCACTGCCATGACCTCCACCACCACCTCCATGTCCTCCACCACCTCCTCCATGTCCACCACCGCCACCTCCATGTCCTCCTCCTCCGTGTCCACCGCCTCCATGACCGCCACCACCGCCGCAAGGTTTAGCTAAAGTTATAATTTTTTTTATACAAATAAATAATATTAATAATAATTATTAGCTTAAAAATAATAATAATTATTATCTTAAAAATAATAATAATTATTATCTTAAAAATAATAATAATTAGTATCTTAAAAATAATAATTATTATTATCTTAAAAATAATAATTATAATAATAATAAATATTATTATTATTTTTAAGATAATAATTATAAATAATTGAAAAACAACTTACAGTTTGACGGTATAATAATTATTGAAATTATTATAGTTATTAACAATATATATATTAAACAGATTTTCATTGTTTTATTTTCTTTTAAAATTAATTTAACAAATAATTTTCAAAAATTTAAACTAAAAAATATTATTTAGAAAATAACTTCCGTGTTTTTTGTTGGTAAAAATTTTTAGTATTTATACTCAAATTTTATTTGTTTACTTTATTTTTTTTAAAACAATTTTTAAACAATACTAATTACTTAATGATAAAATTTCATGTTATCTGGAAATTTTTTTTGTTAATAATTTTGTTTTATATGTAAATAAACTTGGTAAATATTAAGCTATTACATGATTTAATAAAAATTTAATGAAATTTATTAATTATTATTTTGTGTGTTTTAATGTTACAAATTAATAAAAAAAATAAATAAAACTTAATAGATCATAGTATAATTTATTAATAAAAATTTATAATTAATTTAATGATATAGTAGTTAATTTAAATATAAAAAATAATTAATATAATATAGTATTTAAAAATATAATTATAAAATATGTAAATGTTTAAAAAATAAATAATTAATTTAATTATATAAATTTCATTTAAAATATTTTAATTAATGAAATAATTTTATTATTATTATTTATAATCAATAATTATTTTTGTATAAATTATTGTTTTTTTTTAATTAATTACATTTACTAATACACAAAATTTTATTACAATATTATTTAATTAATTAGGCAATTGTTTTGGTTATTATTATTATTATTAATTACAAATTACCGGCCCTTATATTATCCCATTTTTTTGTCGTTGTTTTTGTAATGTTTGACCACCTCTACCACCACCACCACCACGACCACCACCACCAGCACCTGCCCGTCCTTTACGCTGACCGTTTTCCCCACCCCTACCCTGTTTTCGTGCACCACTACCTCCTACTGCCTGCTGACCGCCGCCACCGCCACCGCCGCCGCCGCCACCTTTACGACGTCCACCATTTTTTCGAGCCCTACCCCCACCCCCGCCACCGCCACCACCACCACCACCACGTCTACCAGCCCTTTGTGATGATTCGGGTGATTGTGTTGAACCACAATTGGAAACTAATAGTTAAATAATAGTTTTTTTTTTTTTAAAATAATAGTTTTTGAAACAACAACAAAAAAATATTAAATAATTTTTTATTGTTGTGTCTAATTTGTACCTGTATCAATTATTATTGATATTATTAATAGTATAGTAAAAATTTTAATTATAAAAATGTTTAGTTTCATTTAGAATAATTAATTTTATTTAATTATTATTATTAATTAATTAATTTTAATACAAACTTATATATTGTATTTAAAATTAATAAAATAATAGTAATAATGTTTTTTATGGAACAAAACGTAATTTAATTTATTTTTTATTTTATTTTCCAATTAAATAATAAAAACATTTTATATTTATAATTGCATAATTTTTTCAATACAATAGTGTATTATATTTATATTTAAATAGCTGATTTTATAAATTATATAATTATATACATGTTATAATTGTAAATTTACATATATAAAAACTGTATTATACAGTATTTTAAAAAATTATTATTAAAAAAACTATAAACTTTGTTAATGTTTTAAAATAAAGTTTATTTTAATTTTGATAATTTCATTTAAAATATTTTATAATTACAAAGATTTTATTATTATTATTATTATTATTATTATTATTTTATTTTATTTTCTAAACAACAAACGTAATTTAATTTATAATTATTTTTACAATTAAATAATGAAAATATTTTATATTTCAAATTTTACAATAGTTTTACAATTAAATAATGTAATTTGCTTTTTGTTTTTATTTTATCCATATTGACATAGCTGATTTATTAATTAATTAAACCAACTATATATATATATTTGTACATTGTATTAGTAATAAGTTTTTTAATAATAAAATAATTAAAATATATAAAAAATAATTAATTTATAATTCAAATTGATTATAATTGACTATTTTAAAAATATTATTTACTAATAATAAAATATATAATCAATAAAAATATATAGATATTATATTAACTTAACAAATTAAATAATAAGTTAAAATATTTACTAAAAAATTTAAAACAAAACAAAAATTTTAAATAAATTTTATTCATAATTTTAAATAAACCAAAAAAAAATTATACATAAAAAATTTATTTTGAAAACTATTTATTTATTTGTATAATAATAAATATTATTTATTTAAAAAAAAATTAATGCATGGAAAATTAATTTTGAATAAAATTTTAATTATTTTTATAATACTAAATATTATTTATTTATTTTTAAATAAAAAAATTACTCAAGGAAAGTTATGCATGATAAAAAAACAAATTTATTAGTTTTTTTCTCAGTTATTAATGGGCGCCTCCCTCTTTGGCGCCTCCCTTACCACCCTTATGGCCGCCATGTTCGCCTTTATGGTGTTTTTTGCCTTCGCCATGTTTGCCATGTTTTTTATCTCCATGAGCTGCTGCTGCACCGGCATCGGGTGCACCGGTAGTATCTGAATAAACTAAAATAAAAAATAGATTTATTTATTAAAAAAAATTAATTTATTTATTTTTGATTGATTTAGTAAAATCATTAAAAAAAAATTATAGACAATTATTAAACACTTACCCATTGATACCAAAAACATGGCCACCAATAGGACAGTTAGAAATTTTTGGTTCATTTTTTTTGGTTGAAATTATTAGTTAGTTATACAACTATTTTGAAGGAACGGTAGATAATAATAATAATAGTTTATTGAAAAAAAATTACAACTATTTATATACTGTCTCTCTCTCTCTCTCTCTCTATATATATATATATATATATATATATATATTTATAAACCAAAAAATATAATTAAATAATCATGCACATTTATGTATAAATAATAAAACTATTATTATACTGTAAATTAGTGTATAGTTAAGTACTATTGTACTAATTATTGTTTACTTTAAATATATATTTTTTTACTAAAAAAAATTAATTTATTTAATCAGCTAGATAATTAATACATTAAAAAGTAATTAGTTGCAAAAATAAGTAATTATTATTTTATTGTTTTTAAAATTATTGCTTAATATTAAATTTTATTTTTGGTTTATAATAATGTTTTTTTTATTCAATTAAACACTAATTAAATAATACTTAAAGTATTACTTAATTTTAAAACAAATTAAAAAACATTTTGCAATAAACTAAATAATATTTAGTTAATTAACAAATGTATAAATAAATAATATTTTTAGATTATTAATTACAAAAAAATACTTTTTTATTATAATATCATTAAATACTAATTTACTGTATAAATAATAGTTAATAAAAATATAATTTTTTTTTAAAAAAAGCTAACTAGATCAATCAATCAAAATAATAAAATAAATAAAATATTTAATTATAAGCATAAAAACTTTTAAAAATATTATTTATAATTTTTGTTAACAAACAAAATTATATTTATAAATAAAAAAAAATATTATTTTTAAAAAAAATACAATTTATTTATTTTGTTAATACAATATTATTATTTTATAATAAAATAATTTTTATTCAAATATAGTTATTTAGTCAACAATATAATAGGTATTTCCAAAATTATTTGTCTTATTTTTTGTTGTTGTTGGGTATCAATGGGCGCCTCCATCATCTTTGGCACCTCCCTTACCACCTTTATGATGTTTTTTGCCATCACCATGTTTTTTACCATCTCCATGAGCACCGGCACCGGCACTACCAGCACCGGCAGCATCACCGGATGCACCGGTAGTTTGGAAACAAACTAATAATAGATATTTTTAAAAAATAAATTAGTTTTGATTTGATTAGTAACATAAAAATAAAATATTATAATAATTAATAATAATTATTATAATTATTTAATTACCCATTGATACCAAAAACATGGCTACAATTAGGACAGTTAGAAATTTTTGGTTCATTTTTTTTTTGGTTGTTATTAATTAGTATTGATATACAACTATTTTTGAAGGACTGGTAGATAATAATAATAATAATAATAACTGAGTTATAATTAATAGATTAATTTTTTTTTTGATTTTACAACTATTTATATACTATCTGTCTATAGATAGGGTCATCAAAAACTATTGTTAATTAACAAAAAAAAATAATTATGTTTTTTATGTATACATTTAAAAGAAATATTATTATTATTATTATTATTATAAATTAATGTATAGTTAAGTACTTTAGTACTATTTTTGTTGTTGTTTAATTTAAATGTTTTTTCTAACTTAATATTATTTAATCAGCTAGCTAAATTAATATATTTAAAAAAATAATTATTAATTTTATTTATAAATTATTGCTTAATTTTATTTTAAATATATAATAGTTTTTTTTTCAATGACACAAATCATTCAATAATAATTATAATATTACTTAATTGAAATTAATTTCGAAATAAATTAAATAATATTTATAATTACAAATGTTTTTTTTTGAAATATTTTTAATTATTTACTTAAAAATATACTTCATCATATTTTTTTATTATAATGTCATTGAATACTAAACAATAATTATCAATAATAATATATAAAATTTTAATTTTAAAAAAATTGTTTATTAAAACTAAATAATGACATTTGATATAAGATTTCAAAAAATAAAATAATAATTATTTTTTTATAACTAAAAAACCAAGTATAAAATTATAGAAAACTTTTGATTATTATTAAAATTAATTTTTAAATTTGTTATCTGGTTAAATTACTACAAAAAAAATTAAACATGTTAACAAAAAACATATTAATAAAAAAACATTTTAATAGATTAAAACAACAATTTTTATTCATACATATTTAAAAAATATTGATTATTATTAATTGTTTACTTAAATAAAAAAAAATAATAATAAAAAAAAATTTTTGAAATAATTTTTTTGCATTTAATAATTATTAATATAATTATTATTTAATTGCTTTTTTAATGTTTATGATGAGCACCGGCCATTTTACCTTTAGCATGACCACCACCACCACCACCTCCCTGAGCTGGTACAGCATAACCATTAGCTATTGCACCATTAGATCCCTGTCCACCAACATTAGCACCACTGGCGCCAGTGTTTATTTTTGGTGTGGTTAGGCCGACAGCATCAATATCATTGACTATTTTTTTAATAATAAATTTTTCAAAAAAAAAAATAAATCAATAATTTTAATTATAATTTAAAAATATATTTAATATTATTATTTAATATTTTTTCTTTAAAAAACTATACTTTCAATAGTTGTCAAAATCATTGAAATTAATAAAAGATAATTAATTTTATTGAATGACATTATTATTATTTTCAGTTATATTAATAATACTAATTGTTTTTTTTTTAATTTATGATAATTACTGTTTAATTGATTTAAATAGAAATATTTTTTTTCAAAGTGTTTAATTTATATTCAAATAACAGTTCAAATATATATTTATTTAGTTTTATTAAATAAATTTTGTATTTTTTTATATTGTTTATTCATATTGTTTTAATTATTATAGCATAAACATAAAATTTTTTAATTTATTAAATTTAATTTAAACTTATTTAGTTTTATTATTATTAACATATACATCAATAGTATCAATACATTAGCATGTTTAAAATACACAAAAAAACATATTTATATATAGCATATTAATTACATATTTTTATTTTTAAAAAATAATAATATTATTATTTAATCTAAACAATAATTTTGTTAATTAATTAATTTTTTATTTTATTTAGTAATATTTAATTTATTAATTATTATTAGTAGTAGTATTTTGTATTTTATTTTTTAAAAATGTTATATATTAAAAAAGTTAAAATTTAATAAATTAATTAACTAATTAAATTAATGTTTTTGATGAGCACCGGCCATTTTTTCGCTACCCTTACCAGCGTGTCCTTGTGATGGACGTGCATAGGGTGTTAATTGTGAACCACTACTACCAGTATCACCTCCTCCACCTCCCTGTCCACCATCACTGTTGTTATGACAACTACTACCCGATCCATTATGTAGACCAGTAGTAGTAGTAGTAGCAGCACCGGTAGTTTTTATTGCTTCAATATTATAAACTAAATAAATAAATTAAAAAATAAAATTAATTAATTTAATTAGAAAAATTTATGATAGTAATTAATTAATTATTTATTTTATTATTACTTTCAATTATAGTTAATAATAATAATAGTAATGATAAACAAATATTTTTATTTAATGACATTTTTAATTAAAGTATTTTGTGTTTTAAATAAGTTATTAGTTTAACAAAATTTGTTAATTAATTTTTAAATATGTTTATTATATTTTTTAAAAATCTACTTTTAATTTATATTTAAATGACAAGGCTAATATTTTTTACCATTTTTTTTGTTTAGTTTTATTTTGTTTGTTCATATTTTTAATCAGTATTTAATTATTACAATTATAACTAAAATTTGTTAATTAATTAATCAATAATTTTATTTAAACATATTTATTATTATTATTATTATTATTAAACAAAAAAATTAACATTTATTAAATGATAAATAAAAAAATAATTAATTAATTATTTTAAAAATATACAGAATTAAAAATTTATTATATTTTAAAAAATTAATATTTTATATTAAAATTATATTTTATTTAATTGTTATCGAGATAATTAATAATTATATTTAAACATATCATTATTATTATAGTAAAAAAACACATATTACATGATTAATAAAAAATAATTAATTAATTATTTTAAAAATATACAGAATTAAAAATTTATTATATTTAAAAAAAATATAATATTTTAAAATTATATTTAATTGTTATCGTGATTTAATTAGTTTTAAATTTTTTTTAATGTTTTTGATGAGCACCGGCCATTTTACCTTTACTACCAGTATGTTCCCGGAATAAACGTTTAAATTTAAGGGGACTACCAGTGCTATTATTATTATTATTATTATTATTATTATTATTATAAGCTACTGGACTACCAGATCCTTGATGTCCAGCTCCTCCTCCTCCTACTGTTCCTCCATTAGCATCCATAGTAGTAGTAGTATGAGTAGTAGCACCGGTAGTTTTTATAGCATCAATATTGTTAACTAAATAAAAAAAATAAAATAACAATTAATTAATTAAAAACATAATAATTAATTAATTATCAATTAATTACCACTGATTATTGTAATTAATAGTAATAATATTGATAATAAACAAACTGTTTGATTGAATAACATTTTATTATTAGTTTGATTTGTTTTTTATTTATTTAGTATAAATTAAATTGTTTTTTGAATAAATTAAAAAATAATTAAAAGTATTTATGTTAATCATAAAAATTAATTAAAATTATTATTTTGAATAACATTAATAAATTTAGTTTTTTTTTAATTTAATTAATTAATTAATTAATTAAAATCTAACATCTATTTGTACACATTGTTTATTTTGTGCAAATTTTTTTTGTAACTTTAATATTATATTATTTTTTAATAATAATTGTTTTGTAATTTGTTTGTACATATTTGTTTAAATAAAAAAAATATTTAGTAAAAATTAAAAAATATTTTTTTTTAAATTCTAATTAGATGTGATAATTTTAATAATTTTTAAACTTTATAATTATGTATAATGAAAATCAAAAAAATTATTTCAAACTTTAGTTGTTAAAAAATATTTTATAATAATTTTGTAAATTATAAACAAGTTTTATATCGTGATTAAAATTATGTAAAAAAATAACTAAACATAATTATTGACTAAGTTAAATAAGATAAATAAAAAATAATTAAGCAATAATATTGAAATAATAAAATAAATTATCTACTACACTTTAATAATTAATATTTTTAATAGTTATTTTTTTAAATACATTATCAATTAATTAATTAGTTATTATATATATATATATAAATATTAATAAGCAATCAACAAATATTATATCAAGATTATTTTGTTTTTGCTTATTATGCACAATTTTTTCTACTAAAAATCAATTAAAAAATTTATCAATAACAAATATTTCGAAAAATATTAATATTAATATAAAAAAAACACTTAATTATTTAATCTTAAAAACTTAAAAGATACTAAATTTTCAATTTATTATAAATATACAAATTATGATTTATATTTTATTAAAATGAATTTATTTTTAATACAAAATGTATATAAAATACTTAAATAATAAATGATTTTTGAAAATATTATTTATAAAAATAACTATAATGAAAAAAATATTTGTTAACTTTAACTTGAAAATTGATTTATTTTCAATTTATAAAATATATTTAATAATTCAATTAAAAACTAAATAACATAAAATTAATCTTATATTTTTTATAACACTCATAAAAATATTTTTTTTTTACATGAACTTTGAAATTATCTATTTATATAATTTTATAAGTTTAGCTAAATCTATATAAATAGTAAACAATTATTATATTTTTATAATTAATTAGTAATAAAACTAATTAATTAAAAAATATTTCTATTAGATATTTTATTTTCATTAATTGCAAACTAAAATAATGTCTAATTTATATTTATTACTAATTAGCTTGCTAACAATTTTTAGCACAAATGTTAATGTGGTTATTTTGTTAGATGATAATAATTTATTTCATACTAATGGAACAATTGTATAAATTTTTTAAAAATAACTACTAAATTTTATTTTAATTTTTAACCGTTTATTTTAAAAATTTTTTAGTTAATAGATGATAATCCTATATCGAAAAATGTTATCTACATTTGTGGCGGTTTAGTAGGCGGTTCTAGTTATTCATCAAATTGTTATAAATATGATACACATCACGGAGTCTGGCAATCGATGCACTCAATGACTACATCGAGAAGTTATTACGGTTTGGTTTCGTTTAATAATAAACTCTATGCTTTAGGAGGTTATAATGTAAGTAATTAAATGCCTTAATTTACTAATTTTTTAAAAATTATTTTCAACTTTATTTATATACTTAAATATTTAGGGTTTATATTTGAATAGTGTTGAAACATACGATATCCTAAACAATACATGGACTACAATGTCATCGTTGAGAATAATAAGCGGGTATTATATTATTGATTTTTTTTAAAATTTTATATAAATTTTTTTTAATATTTTTAATAGATTTATTGATGCAGCTGTATTTAATGGCACAATATATGTTTGCGGTGGAAAAAATAGTAAAAAAAATAATTAGTTATTTAGAATATTATAAATTATTATGTTTATATTTATAATGTTGATAACACTATAATAATTAAATTTTATTTTTTTTCAAGATAAATATTACAAAACATGCGAATACTATGCGCCCGATTCGGATGAATGGTATATCGGTACACAAATGTCTACCGAACGGGACGGTCTGGCACTGGTAGCCCATAGCGATGGTTTCCTGTACGCTATTGCCGGTGAAAATTCAAACGGTTATCTATCGACAATGGAAAGATACGATCCTAAAACACTGCAATGGTTCGGTATGGGTAATATGCAACAAACAAGGTTAATTTATATATATAATATAAATAATAATAATAAAATATATAAATAATAATAAAATATATAAATAATAATAAAATATATAAATAATAATAAAATATATAAATAATAATAAAATATATAAATAATAATAAAATATATAAATAATAATAAAATATATAAATAATAATAAAATATATAAATAATAATAAAATATATAAATAATAATAAAATATATAAATAATAATAAAAATATATAAATAATAATCAAACTATATATCAATCGGTTTATCAATCAATATAATTATTAACTAATTAATTTATACTATTATATTTTTTTAGAAACTATTAATAGATATATTTATATATCTAAATATATTGGATTTATTTATTTTTGTAAATAATTCAATAATACTAATTTTTTTTTTAATTTTAACTTTTAATATTTAAAAAATAAATAATATTATTTATAAATTGTAGATGTCGTTTTGGTGCGGCATCATATATGGGTAAAATTTATGTTTGTGGCGGTGCGGGTAGTGGTGACGGAAAAACATGCGAAACATATGACCCGAAAACAAATATATGGTCACCTATTGGTAATTAATTAATTAGTTTTTTTTTCATAAATTTATTTATATATATATTTTTTTAATTAACATAATTAGCATCAATGACTGATAAACGTTTAGATTTTAAATTATTAGTTTTCGATGATATATTGTACGCTTTTGGTGGATCTTCAAGTAATTTATTTTATTTTTTAATATATTATTATCTAATTATTCTTTAATTATAAAAAATACTAATAATTATTTAATTATTAAATTATTTAAGATATTAGTACAGTGGAAATCTATGATTATAAATCAAATCAATGGTTTTATACGACATCAATGCCTACTAAACTTAATGGTTATGGGGTAATTGTATTTATTTTATTATTTTTTTAAATAAATAAATAGCTTAAATATTTTTTTTTAAATTATTTTTTTTTCTATATTTTAATTTTTTTCATTTTAGGTTGCTGTTTTAACAACTCCATAAATTATTTTTAAATAAAATTTTATCTTAAATTATATACTAATCAAGATTTATTATTATTCAACAATTTATTTTTTAATTTAGTTTTAATTATTTAAATTTTAAAATAAATATTAAAAATAATGTATTAAATAATAATTATATATTTATATATTATATTATATTGAAACAAATAAATTGATTTTGCAATTAATAACAATTATTAGAAATTATTTATTTAAGTATTTTAGTTGTTAATCAATATAACTTATTATTAATAATAAAAAAATATTATTAATTAAATACTAGTTAAAATAATTGTTGTTTTATAAAAATATATTTAATTAAACATGTAAATTTTTTTATTATTATTTATTATTATAATACTAGTCATAGAAAATAGATTATATAAAAAATATCTAAATAATTTAGTGAACATAACAGTCAATCGGTATCTATAATAATATTAATTAAGTTAAAAAAAATCAATAAATAGATATTAAATAAAATATATTTATCAAAAAAAAAAATATTTTATATATACCTTTACAAAGTTACTTAATATTTCACTTACTTTATCACTTAAATTATTATTATTATTATTATCAATATTATAGTGCAACTGCGCTTATGTAGACTTGAAATAGTTACTGTAGTTAAACTGTTAGTTAAAACATAAAGTGCAATAGTTTATGTACAATTAGTGCATTTTAAGTTAAACTAACTGAGCCAGTACAGTATATATAAATACTGTATACTAGTTGTAAAAAAATTAAAAAAAAATAATTTTTTTGATGTTTCAAATACTAAAAATCATTTGTAAACAGTTTTATTTATTTTTTTGAAAAGTTTTATTTTCTAAATAAAACAGTAAATCAAAAAAATAATCATAAAATAAATTGATTTTCTATTTTAATTTCAAACACAAATTGTTTTTTAAATTTATTATTATTATTATTATATTTGTATTAAAAATGTAAGTAAATTAAAAACTTATTTATAATTGTATAAACAGTATATTTTTAAAGTATTAAATATTTTTTAATACTTTTTATTTAAAATAAAAAAAATAATTTTTTTTTCTAACAATTAATAATATTTTTTTTAACTATTTTTATCTAAACTAATAACATATAGACTATATATCAGACAACATGAGTACTACTACTACTACTACTACTACTACTACCGATAACTTACGTGACTTTACCGGCAAAGTAGTAGTGATTACCGGTTCGAGTAGTTGTATCGGAGCCGCTGCTGCCCTAGAGTTTGCCACCGCTGGGGCACAGGTAGTAGTGGTCGGCCGTAATCGGGAACGGATAGCCTCAGTGGCCAAACAATGTGCGGATATATCACCCACCGGGTTGGCCGGTCTGGAAATAGTTGCCGATATTACCGATGACGAGGACTGCAAGCGATTGATTGATGAAACTATCGGTGCATTCAATCGTTTGGATGTATTGGTCAACAATGCTGGGTATGGTGTGTCCGCTGCGGTAACCGATGAGGATTTTACCCGAAAATTAGACCAAATGATTGGATTACATGTCCGATCGTTGATTCAATTAACCAGACTATCGGTACCCTATTTGACCAAAACTAACGGTAATATTGTTAACATTTCAAGTTTGGCAGCATTTCATTATGTAAGTCATATTGTTTTTTATTTATTTTTTTTTAAAATTAAAATATAATAAAATAAATATTTTATTAATAAATAAATAGTTTGAAAATTTTGTGATTTTTTTGTGTCATATATAAAATTATTTTTTTTATTTATTATTATAGTATTAATAATAATAATAATAATTAAATATTTTATATAATTTTTTTTTGTATAATTGCATTTGTTTTGTTGTTTTTGTTATTATTTTTATAAAACATTTATTTATTAACTAAATTTGTGTTTTAATATTTAAAAATTAATTAATTAATTAATTAATACTAATATATTTTTATTGTAGTATATCATCAATAAGTTTTTTGATAACTTTTATATATATATATATATATATATATATATATATATATTAGTATTTTACTAAACAGTATTCATATATTTATATTGCTATTAAATTATTTGCTATTAATATTTTTTTTAATATTTATTATTATTTTTTTTATAAATAATAGACCAAATCTTTTGGACCGTACTGTATAGCCAAGTGTGCGCAGGATATGTATAGCAAGTGTGCGGCCGTCGAACTGTCCAAACTGGGCATACGGGTCAACACAATCAAGTAAATTAAAAAAAAAATTAATTTAAAAAACTAAAATTAATTAATTAAAAACATTTCTAAAAAAATCTAGTCCCGGCCTAACCCGTACGGGTATTATGACTCAAGCAGGTGTACCGCAACTGGTGTCCGACCAGTTGTTTGACAAATGGGGCTCAAAGTTACCGCTCGGACGCCCGGGCGATGCCCGTGAAGTGGCCCGAGCTATACGTTTTCTGGCCTCAGGGGAGGCTTCGTTCATAACGGGTACCGGTTTGACGGTAGACGGCGGCCATTTGGCCGCTAATACTGACCTGACTGTCGACGAAGTTATTGCTAATAATTTGAAATAATTTTTTTGTTGTAATTTTAAAATTTTTTAAAATAGCAATTAATACTAAATATATTGTTTTTTTTATAAATTAATTTTATTAAGATATTCAATAAATTTTTACTACTATTATTATCAAATTAATATTCATAAAAATTATTATTATTATTTTTTAAATACTTTATAATTAAAAAATTTACAGATTTTATCTAAAAATTTATTATATTTGCATATTATTAACAAAAAACACTAAAAATTTTCAGCTATTATTTTATATAATATAATAATGTTTTAATGTGTTTTAAATAAATATTTTTTAAAAATTTTATTATTATTATTAATATTAAAAAATTATTATTAATTATTAATATTCGTAACAATTATAAAAAAATAGAAATTTTGATAAATTTATTTTTTTATATAATAAATAAATTTAGAAATAATTTTCTATACAAAATGCATACTTTTCAATTTGCAAACATTTTTTACTACACGTATCGTTTAGGGTGGCCAACTGTTGCTGTCGTTGATTGCATAAATAGATTGAACTAGGTGAACATTTTCCAATTAATGGTGCCACACTAGTACTGGTAGTGGTAGCATCCTCAATTTTATAATCTAGATCATTGACTGTATAGCCACAAAATTCACCTTGTACACCATTGCATCGACATTCATAATCTGAATTATCTAGATCTATAGTAAAAAAAAATAATAATTATAATAATTATTGAATATTTTTAATTTTATTTAAATAATTATTTAATTAATTTTTTTTGTAATAATATAATTATTTAATTAATTAATTTTTTGTAATAATATAATTATTGAAATTTTTTTGTAAATTATTTTGAATTACAATTTTCATTTAATATTTTTATGTATTTAAAAATTAAAAAATATACTTTTTCAATGTAATTTTAAATGAAAATTGTAAAACTTTTTAATAATAAAAAGTTTAAATTTTTTTTTATATAATTACCACACGATGCTTGACTAAAACCATTTTGAAAACATTTATTTGTACATGTTTCATTATATAATGCTTGTCCATAATTATCTTTAGTAATAAAATCATTGTCACAATAATATAGTCTATTTTTCTGACAATTACCACGCAATCTAATTTGACCATTAACTAAACGATTGGCAATATGGCCGCAAAATATACCATTAATATTGTTGCATAGACATTCGTGATTATGATCGACTAAAAATTTATAATAATATAAATTAATATATTTAAAATAAATTGTAAAATCTAAAAATTTATGTGTATGTGTATGTGTATGTGTATGTGTATGTGTATGTGTATGTGTATGTGTATGTGTATGTGTATGTGTATGTGTATGTGTATGTGTATGTGTATGTGTATGTGTATGTGTATGTGTATGTGTATGTGTATGTGTATGTGTATGTGTATGTGTATGTGTATGTGTATGTGTATGTGTATGTGTATGTGTATGTGTATGTGTATGTGTATGTGTGTACTATACCTTTAGTTGAACCATTATTACAGTATGCAGTAGTATAAGCATCCTTAATACAAATATTATTATCCGCACAATGAGTTTTTTTGGGTACAAAATTTTTCTTATCCCTATACTCTTTTGGATCGCAATAGTAGATAATATCGCGCCTACAGTTCCCCTTCAATAGATACCGGCCCTCTTTTATATCGGAATTGTAACCAATCACATTTGCTTCGTACCAACAAAATTGACTCATATATTCATGGCATCGACATGTATCCTCTAAAAATATTTTTTAGTCAAAATTTTAATAATAATAAATAAATAAAATTTTTAAAAAATAATGTAAATAATTTTTTTAAAAAAAGTTAATAATTTGTTTTAAAAATGTAAATATAATTTGTTTTAAAAATGTAAATATATTTTTTTTAAAAATGTAAATAAATTTTTTAAAAAAAAGTAAATAAAATTTTTCAAAAAATTTAAATAAAATATTTACCAAATTTAAAATCTCCGCTATTATCTATAGAACACATATATTTAAAATAAAAATAATTAAATTTTAGATTTTGTTTAAATATATAATTTGTTTATATATAGATTTTTTTATAGATTTTTTTTTTTAAATTTCTTAAAGTAACTAACGTTTAATCAAATCCATATCCACTTTTGAATAACAATCTGCTTGATAACCAAAATCCTTTGACCATTTTTGTTCGCAATGTTCGCAATTGGTTTTCCGTACGGCCAGTCCATTATCTCCATGTTTGCACTCGTATACAGAATTCCAATAACACATTGAACCGTTCAATACTTGTTTACCAGTTGTCAATACAGTTGTTAACCAATTATTATTATTATTATTATTATTATTATTGTTATTATAATGGCTGCCACAAAATGTACCAGCTACACCATTGCATCGACAAAAATCTACATAGATAAATTTTTATTTAAAAAATTATAAAATTATAATATTAGATAGTTTTATAGATTTTTAAAAAATAAATAAATTTATCATGCTTTACCATTGGGATTTTTATCTTTATTAATATTTTCATCAGGACCTAATTTAGAATTAATAAATTAAAATATAATTTATATAATATAATTATTATTATTTATAATATTATTATTATTTATAATAATATTATTATTATTTATAATAATATTATTATTATTTATAATATTATTATTTATATTATTATTTATATTAGTAATTATAATATTATTAAAAATTATAATATTATTTTTATTTAAAATGAAAAAAAACTATCAGTATATTTATTTATAATTATATTTATATAAAAAATAAAATATAATTTAATTTAAGTTTTATTTTTATGTTTATACTTTACCACAAACAACTGATTTTTCATCAATTTGATAACAATTATCAGTACACGATTTATTAAATTTAGCTAGATTACTATTATCAATGGTATCATCATTTTTATTATCATCATCATCATCATCATAGCATTTATAGCTATCTTGTTTAAAGCAATCGCCTTTTAGTAAATTTTTATAATTTTTCCAACCATGTTCAATTGTCGGATCAGTATAGTAGCCACAAAATTCACCCTTAACACCATTGCATTTACATGCTGAAGTTAGATAACCTAAATTTTTTTAGTTAAAAAATAAAATATATTTTTATAAAAAAAATCCAAAAAAAAATATATTATATTAAATCTAATAATTATTTTTTTAAATATATAATTAAATAGATTTTTTTTTTAATATATAATTTTAACCATTTGATGAGTTTGTTAGCATTGCCTCTTGTTTTAACTGCATGTTTCTATTATTATTATTATCATTATTATCATTATTATTATTATTATTATTATTATTATCATTATTATCATTATTATTTCTTGAATCTAATATAAAAACTTTTAAAATTTAAAAAATATATATTAATATATAATTTTATTTAATACAACATTTTTTTTTTAATTAAATAATTTGTTTATCTAATTACCTTGTTGAATATTATTAGCATGCTTGTTTTTGTTTTTGTTTCTGTTATTATTATTAATTCTTACGTTGTAATAGTTTCTTCTTACTAATAATTAAAAATAAAAACAACAAACAAAAAAAAATAAAAAGTTAAAATTAAAATTAATTAAAATAAGTATATACATAGATTTATAAATAAATAAAAAATGTTTGAATAAAAAAATATATATAAGTAATGCATGAAAACATACAAATGATACAAACAAAATGCTAATAATTTAATTTAACTTAAATATAAATATATAAAAATATTTAACTAACTTAACAGTAACTTAATGCTTGAAACAGTTTTTTTTTAATAAAAACATTTAATTAATTAATTGAATTTTAGTATTTTTATTATTATTATTAGAAAATTACAATTAAAAATACAAAAAAATAAATAAAAGTAATTAATAATTACCAAATTTTCGATAATTTTTTAGGTGATTGTTATTGTGTCTAACGATTACTAGAAAAAAAATAAATTAATAAAATTAAAAAAATAATAATAATAATAACAAACTTTAATTTTAATTACCGATTTTGTTTTTGGCTCTTTTGAATTGTTTACTATCAGTTATAAAATAAATTGATAAAATTACAAATACATATAAAATTAATAGATTATTATTCATATTGTTATTATTATTAAATGTTTTTATTAATAATTACAACACTATATATATATGAAAACTAATGGAGGCATAAATATAAAAAATATGTTCATATAACTATTTTTTTAAAAAATAAAATAATTTTAATAAAAAATAAACTATTAATATTATATAGCATATATAAGTTTTTAAAAACATATTTGATTTTAATATAATATATATATATACATGTATATATATATATATATATATATATATATTAAATATATTTACCATTTAAAATATTTATACTAGTACTATTATAAAAAAAACATTTATTGTTATAGCTAATAATTTCGATATTATATTATTAAATAGTTATTAACTAGTTTATAATATTTTATAATTAATTTATATTTTTTAGTTTTTTTTAAATTTTTAGTTAACTATCTTAATAGCTTATGTATGTATTTGTGTGCTGTAGAAAACTGTAGTTCAAATTATTATGTTTGATTTGATATGTATAAAAGTTACATCAATACAGGGTAATTATTACCCTGGTACATTTTTTATTTGATGTATAACTGTAACATAGGACATTATTTAAAAATTTATAATAATAATAATAAATATTATTATTATTATTTTATGGTGCATGTGTTCTTTTTATTATCTTAAAACCTAAAAAAAATTTACAATTTAATTTAAAACAGATTAAAAAACACTTGATAATTTTTTTTTATCATTTATTAAATTTTATTTATTAATAAACCAGTTGTGAATGCTATAAAGCATTTATAGATAAACTCAACTTAATATATGATTTTTGTTTTTAAATCATTAAAATATATTAATCTAAAATAAAAAATTTAATTTTGTTTGATAAAAAAAACACATTGATATGAATTCAAATACATATTGTTATGTAGGAGTTTGTAAATAAAAAAATTATTATCAAAATTTCAATAAAAATATGTAATAATTATTTCAATATAATTTTTCAAACTTTTTATCTAAATTATATAACACATGTATAACTATTATTTTAACCTTTGAGTTATTACTTTTATTATAAGTAAATAAATTTTATTTATTTATTTATTAATTATATAAATAGAAATTTTCTATTAATAATAATAATAACTTATTAGGACTTGATTTTTCTAAATAAAAGTTAGCTTGTTAAATTAATAATTTTTTTGTAATTTATTTTATTAAAAAAAATGTTACTAACATTTATAACAGGGTTTATAACATTAACAATAATATGTTTCAACAATGTATTGATGTTAAGCAATACTATAGCTAATAATAATCACAATAATAATATTGATTTTAATGTAATTAAAAATAGCAGAATTTTTTTATTAAACTAAAAAAAATTTAATTTTTCTAAATTTATTTATTTAAATTTTTTAATTATAGAATATTAATAACAATAGTAGTTCAATGATAATTTGTGGCGGCTATGATGGCGATTCAATTACACCAAATTGTTATCAATTGAAACCACGTACCAGTGTTTGGCAATCAATGAAATCAATGTCTACTGAACGCTATGGTTATGGTTTAGTCAACGATAATAAAAATCAATTGTTGTACGCAATCGGCGGACTTAATGGACAAACGGTAATAATTAAACAAAAATATATTATAAAATTAAAATATATTAAATTATTAAATAAGAAATAATTTTTTTTGAACAGGGTAAATATCTAGACAGTGTTGAAACATATAATCGACAAACAAATCAATGGCAATTTCAGGCACCACTTGGACAAGCTAGGAGGTTTTTTAATTTATTATTATTTTTTGTATTTTTTAACTAGTATATAATTTTTTTTAAAAATTAAATAATGTTTTTTCTAAGTTTTTTTGGCTCAACTATACTAAACAATACTCTATATGTTTGTGGTGGGGGTCGAAATGGTAAAATTATTATTATTTATTTATTTTTTAATTTTATTTTTTTATAATAAATTTTCTATAAATTTTAGGCCATTTTCTTAATGTATGCGAATATTACTTGTTTGATGAAAATAAATGGCATTTATTAACAGCACCGATGCCTAGTGAAAGGTGGGGTTTAGCACTGGTAGCTCATAGTAGTAGTAGTAGTGATGGCCAACTGTATGCTATCGGTGGTCAAAGTGATACCAAGTTTTTGAATACAATGGATAGATATGATCCCGAAACTAGACAATGGACACCAATGGCTAATATGCAATCAGCTAGGTTAGTTTATTATTAATATTTATATATAGTTACATAATTTTAGATATATATATATATTTTTAAAAATTGAAAATAAGGTTATTAATTAAATTAATACTAGACATAATTTTTCTTAATTAGCTAGCTTAATTAATTATTTATTATATATACATGATTATATATATATATTAAAATATAAATAATTATTAAAACTATTTGTTATTTAAAAATACTTTTTTAATTTTTTTATGATTGATTTGATTGGATAGATATTTATTTGCTTCGGCAGTATTTATGGACAAAATATATGTTTGCGGCGGTTTGGGTAATAGTGATGGAAAAACATGCGAATCGTATGATCCGATGACAAATCAATGGAAACCTATTGGTATTTTTATATCTAATTTTTTTATTAAATAATTTTTTTCATATATAAATATTTCACTTAAAAATTTATAATTAATTTTTTATTTTAATAAACAATAGCATCAATGACTGACCAGAGATCAAACTTTAAGCTAATTGTTTTTGACGATAGTCTATACGCTATGGGCGATGATAATCGTAATAATATTAATACAATTAATTAATTATATATTTATAAAATTATTTGAAAAAATCATATTATTAAAAATAATTTTTTATAGTAAACTAAATAATAATTATTATTTTTTTTATTTTTTTTTTAAAATACAGCTACTAATAAAATTGAAATCTATGATCATAAATCGGATAAATGGTATTATCTATTATCAGTAAGATTGCCAGTTAGTCTAAGTGGTTTTGGGGTAATTAATTAAATTAATTAAAATTTATTTATCAAATTCTAACTAAAGTCTATTATTTTATTATAATTATATTAATTAATTATTTATCTATTTTTTTATATTATATAAAGGCTGCCACAATAACATCAAATTAATATATGATATTATTAAAAAAGTAAATGATATTATCAAATTAAAAATTGTTTAATGAAATAAATTGGATTTTTTTTTGAAATATAAATGATTTATAAAATAATTTTTTTAGATTATTTCATATATATTTATTAAATATTTCTTAATGTTAATTGAAATTTATACAAAAAAAAAAGATTAATTTAATTATATAAGATAATAATAAATAAAATATTTAGTACTTAAATAATTAATATATATTTTTAAAAAATTATTAATACAGTACTTGAAATTTGACTTATTATTATTTTAAATGATATATTTTATGTGTATAATAGTTTAGTTCATTATTATTAAATAAATTGCAAGAAAATATCTATATAAAACTTTGAATAAATGTTATATTTAATTAAAATATCAATTTATTTGCAATAGAAAATAAATAAATTTATTATTTAACAGTATTATAATATTAATAATATTTTTTCACAATGTATTATATTATTAATTATTTAATAAAACAATTTATTTTTAAAAATAATATTTGCTAAACAAATACTAATTTTAAATTATAATAGTTTTTTTAGTTTTATTTATTTGTTTGTTTGTTTGTTTTCCAGCTTTGAATATCATTAGCAATTAATTTGTTGTTATTACTGCAGCCTTTAAAATATAAATAAAAAAAATGAAAAATGATTATTTATAAAATTATACAAATAATATTATTATTAATAATAATAAATTTAAAAAATTAAACAAAATTTTTACCCCAAAATTATCTAATTTAACTGGCAACGATATTGATGAATAATTCCATTGATTTAATTTATAATTGTATATTTCAATTTTATCAGTTACTTGAAAAAAATAAAAAAATAATAATTTATAATTATATTTAATTTAATTTTTCAAAAAAAAAATAAATAAAAAATAATATAAATCTTAATTACACGGATAACCGCCCATAGCGTACAGATTATCATTGAAAGCTATTAGTCTAAAATTATCTCTACGTGTATTCATTGATGCTTTTAGTAAAAATAAATAATTAATTAATTTAAAATAATAAAATTTAATTAAAATAATATAAAATAAATACCTATTTTTGTCCATTGATTAATTTTCGGGTCATACGATTCACATAAATTCCAATCTAGGTTACCCATACCGCCACAAACATATATTTTTTCCATAAATGATGCTGCACCAAATTCATATCTATAATTTTTATTTACATTTAAAATTTTTAATTAGTTTGTAATAATATAATTAAAATATAATTGCCTTAAGTATAATAACTAAAATTTTATTAATTTAAAAAAAAATATTATTATTATTATTAGCTAGCTAGCTAATTCTAATTATAAATAATTTAATATATTTTTGTTTATTATTATTATTATTATTTAAATATATCTATTAATTAGTTTTTTAATTAATCATAATTAATTATAAATATAAAATTATTTAAAATTTATTTATAAAATTTAAAAAACCTTTTAGTATACATATCAGCCATTTGTGTCCATTTTTGTGTTTTCGGATCAAATCTTTCCATTGTCTTCAATGAACTTGAATTTTTATAACTATTACCACCGATAGCATACATACACCCATCACTATGGGCTACCAGTTCTAGATTATGTCTATCTGTAAGCATAGGTTTTAGTGTTAAATACCATTCATTTCTATCTACAAAATATTGTTCGCAAGCTTCGTAACTGTGACCTAAAAAATTAAAAATTATTAAATAAATTATTAAATAAATTATTATATAAATTATTCTACAAATTTAATAAAAAAAATAATAATAAATAAATAATAATAATAAATAATAATAAATAATTAATGATAATAAATAAATAATAAAAATAGATAAATAATAATAATAAATAAATAATAATAAATAAATAATAATAAATAAATAATAATAAATAAATAATAATAAATATATAATAATAAATAAATAATAATAAATAAATAATAATAAATAAATAATAAATAAATAATAATAAATAAATAATAATAAATAAATAATAATAAATAAATAATAATAAATAAATAATAAATAAATAATAATAAATACATAATAATAAATAAATAATAATAAATAAATAATAATAAATAAATAATAATAAATAAATAATAATAAATAAATAATAATAAATAAATAATAATAAATAAATAATAATAAATAAATAATAATAAATAAATAATAATAAATAAATAATAATAAATAAATAATAATAAATAAATAATAATAAATAAATAATAATAAATAAATAATAATAAATAAATAATAATAAATAAATAATAAATAAATAATAATAAATAAATAATAATAAATAAATAATAATAATTACTATTTAAAAAATTATTACTAAATTTTTTATTTACCACTAGATGTACCACCACAAACATACAATGTATCATTAAGTACAGTAGCACCCATAGAGCTGTTTAAAAAAAACAATTTATATTAAATATAAATATACATATATATTTAAAAATGTTTTTAATTAATTATTTAGTTTATTTAAAAATAAAATAAAATAAAATGAACCTGGTAGGATAAGCAAGCAATCCAGCTGATTGCCATGAATTAGTTTTAACATTATATGATGCAACATTACGTGAAATCTTTAATTACACCCCCCCCCCAAAAAATTAACATGTTAATTTAAATTAATATAAAAAATATTATTATTATTATTATTTTCAATTAATATACATACCTCATAAGCTTCGCCCCCAATAGCGTACAATTGATTTCTATAGTTAACTAAACTAAAACTAGTCCTTTCCGATGACATTGATTTAATTGGTTGCCATTTATTACTTGGATTAGTATTTTGATTAAATTGATAGCATTTTGATTGGGTGTCCATACCGCTAAAACCGCCACAAATATAGAGTGTAGACTAAAATATTAAAAATTAAAAACCAAAATTATCAATATTTTTAAATTGAAAAAAAAATTATATATATTTTTAAATAAACAAAAAATTATATATTTTTTAAGTTAACAAAAATTATCAGTATTTTTAAATTAACAAATATATATATATTTTTTTTAAATTAACAAAATTACTATATTGTAGCGGAATAATAATAGATCACTTAAAACAATAGTAAATGTACTCAAATTATATATTTATTACAAATTATGTATTGCATAGTTGTATGTTTTGACAGCAGTGTTAAATACATAGTAATATATGAGATTTGTATTCCCATTGAAATAACATTAACGGCATATTTAGTAATAGAAAACACGGGTTTAGTATACCCATAGAAAATACATAAGCGGCACATTTACTATTATAATTATGCCATAGAAATAACATTAGCTATACTTTAACATACAAACATATAGGTTTAGTTTGTAACACGTATAGTGTCAGTAAATGTAGTGACGCACTTGCGTTTCAGTGAATACTATTTAACCATTGGTTTAAACATTTTATATACAGGGGTTAACAAGGGATTTTGTTTCATATACTTTAACATTAATGAATTAATTAATTTCTAAGCGCACTTGTGTATTGTATTTTAATGCAAATGAGAATTTGCCTTTAGGTGGTAGTGTGCGACTGATCAAAAATAGGCAGAGTTTGAATTAACCAATAAGAGCAAAGTAGTAGTATATGTAAAAGTTGTCATCAAATATGAATGCAGAGTTTAACAGTTTGCGCGCGCAATAGGCAGTGGCTTATGCAGCGATCAGACTGCTGAACTCTCAGTCGAGCGAAATGCTCGACACAAGTTGTCTTACTCTTGAACTGGTCGGTTGCCGTCACTTCACTCCGCAATACACTGTAGTGTATTGTAATACATTGTATTAGTATTATTTTATATGTTTTATTAATAAACTCGGTTTTGGTTATAAGTCCCGAGTAAGTCATTTGGGCCTTTGGCCCGTACTTTCTCTCTTCTCTCTCTCTCTATCTCTCTCTTGCTTTCTCTCTTCTCTTCATCTACGGGCTCCCTTGCCGTGTCAGTCGCGTGTCCCTTTCACGTGTCCATCACCACCACTACAACACTTTGGCCGACAGCACCGCTCAGCTCTTTGGCCGATACAGCACCGCTCAACACTTGGGCCGATACAGCACCGCTCAGCTCATTGACCGTCGCAGCACCGCTTATTGTTTGGCTCATCAAAGCCATCACCGCTCAACGCGAGATCCATACCGTGGTCGCTGATGTCCTCAACTACATAGGTGTTGGTGCCGACTCATCTCTAAGACCGACACACTTTGGTGCCGATAACGTCGAGTCAGCACCGGACACCTTAAGCAACCTATCCAACCGTTTCAATATATTTTTAAATTAACAAAAATTAAATATATTTTTAAATTGAAAAAAATATTTTTAAGATTTACATTTGAATTATTGCTTGAATTTTTTGTTGACAATAATACTACATTATTAAAACATATGGATAGTATAGCTAACACTGTTAGACATATTAAAAACTTTTTTTTTGTTTTTAGGTAGGTCAAATGTACAAAAAAAAATTTTAAAAATTAACAATTAATAATTATTTTTGTATCTTTTTTTTGTAATTAATTTCTATTTATATAGTTACAATGCAAAATCTAGTAATTGCTATATCTATTGATAATAGTAATCAAAAGTTTCAATTGTATTGTATTTACAATATATATATATATATATATATAGAAATTAATAACTTTTTTTTGCTATTAATCTATTTTATAACAATTATTGATAAGATAATATGAATCCTATTTTTTTTTAAAAAGTACAATATAGTGTAATATAGCTTATTTTTTTTGTTCCTGTATTCCCGGTACAGTACTAGCAGTTTACAGTGTTGTCCTGTTTTTATCATATAATTTGATACAAACCCTATAAAAATAAGAATATAAAATAAAATTTTAATATATATAATTTTTAATTAAATTTAAAGTTATTTTAGATATATTCAAATTTATTAATCATAACTTTACTTTAAATATAATTTTCAATTAAATTACATCTAAACTTGTATATTACAGAACAGATACGGGACAGAACAGGAATCTGAAATAATAACAACAACAAAAAGTTTATACTCTATTATGTACTTAAAATAACTGTTGATAGTTATTAATCTATAAGTACTATAGTTGAACCTAAAATAATTAATTAATTTTAATAAATAAAAATCTTTTATAAAAAATTATTTTATTTTATTAAGTTAATAGGTTTAGAATTTTAATAAATTAGATTATTTTTTGTTTATGATTGAAAAACATTAGTTTAATTTCAAATAATTATTTAGAGTTAAATATAAATATAATATAATTGTTTATAATAATTACATAAAGATTTTTTTAGCATTTTATATTTACTATTCATTTAAATTTTTTTCGTTTTTATAGCTATATAAATTATAAAAATTTCAATTTCAAATATTTTAGTATAAATTAATTATAATTATAATTTTTAAGATATTTATTTGGTTCAGCTATATATATATATATATATATATATATATATAGATTTTATATATATATATATATATATATATATATAGATTTTATATATATATATAAATATGCTGGTAAACAGTGATGGGAAAACATTTAAAAAATGTCACATAAAATATAAAAACAAAATAATAAATGAATTTAATTTAATTGTTAATTTTATTACAAAAATATATTTATTTAAAAAAATTAAAAATTAAATTTATTATTTTATATTAGATATAATGTTATATATTATACAGTGTTTTTTTAGATTATTTATTAAAAAATTTTTATATTATTCAAATATAATTTACTAATAAACAAATAGATTGTAATTTTTTAATTATTATTCTTATATGTTTTCCTGTTTGAAACTAATTTATAATTAATTTGTTGTTATTACGGCAGCCTTTAAAATACAAATGAAAAAAATAAAAAATAATTATTTATTAATAAAAAATAATAAATTTAATCAATTACTAAAAAATAATATTTATAAAATTATGACAATAATATTATTGTTAATAATAATAAATTTAAAAAACTAAAAATAAATTTTACCCCAAAATTTTCTAATTTAACCGGCAATGATATTGATGAATAATTCCATTGATTTAATTTATAATTGTATATTTCAATTTTATCAGTTACTTGAAAAAAATAAAAAAATATTAGCAAAATAATTATATAAAATTATATTTAATTACAAATTTTTACAAATAAATAAATAACAAATAAAAAAAATGTCAATTACCCGGATAACCGCCCATGGCGTACAGATTATCATTGAAAGATATTAGTCTAAAATCCCGTCTACGGTCATTCATTGATGCTTTAAAATTAATTAATTAATTTAATAGATTTTTATTTTTTAAAAAAAAATTAATATAAAAAATAAAATAAATACCTATTTTTGTCCATTGATTAGTTTTCGGGTCATACGATTCACATAAACTCCAATCTAAATTACCCAAACCGCCGCAAACATATATTTTGTCCATAAATGATGCTGCACCAAAATCATATCTATAATTTTATTTATTTTTAAAAATTTTAATTAGTTGATAAATTTTAAGTAAATATAATTTCATTTAGTATAATTTAAAAAAATATATTAATTAATTAAAAAAATAACTATTAGCTAGCTAACACATTATATCATATATTAGATAATCCTAATTATAGATAACTTAATTTATTTTTTTAGTTAATTATTATTAGTATTTAAATTTATCTATTAATTAGATTTTTTCAATTAAACAGAAATATTTAAAAAAATAAATAACTATAATTTTAAAATTATTTTTAACCTTTTTGTATGCATATCAGCCATTTGTGTCCATTTTTGTATTTTCGGATCAAATCTTTCCATTGTATTTAAATCACCAGAATTTTTATAACTATAGCCACCGATAGCATACATATACCCATCACTATGGGCTACCAGTTCTAGATTATGTCTATCCGTAAGCATCGGTTGTAATGTTAAATACCATTTATCTCTATCTACTAAATAATGCTCGCAATCTTCGTAACTGTGACCTAAAAATAATTCAAAATTCAAAAAATATATATAAATTATTTAATAGATTTAGTAAATTAATAATAATAATAATAGTTTAGATAAGTATATGTAAAATATATAATAAGATATTTGAATTCGATTTTTTTTTATATAATATTACACAATAAAATTAAGTTTTCTTTAAAAAAATAAAATATTTTAATTGAATAATAATTATTTATTTAAAAAATGATTCTTTATTAAATTAAGTTTATTTAAAAAAAAAAATATTTACCACTAGATATTCCACCACAAATATACATTGTGTCATTAAGTACAGTAGCACCCATATAGCTGTAAAAAATTATATATATATAAATATATATTTAAAAATTTGTTAAATTATTAAATTTTAAAAAAAGTAAACCTAGTAGGTAAACTAAGTGATCCAACTTGATGCCATGAATTAGTTTTAATATCATATGATTCAACATTATTTTCAATCTAATTACCAAAATAAATGTGATTTAATTTAATATAAAAATTATTATTACACACACATACACACACATACATACACATACACACACATACACACACATACACACATACGCACATACACACACACACACACACACACACATACACACACATACACACACATACACACACATACACACACACACACACACACACACACACACATACACACACATACACACACATACACACACATACACACACATACACACACATACACACACATACACACACACATACACACACATACACACACATACACACACACACACACACACACACATACACACACATACACACACATACACACACATACACACACATACACATACATACAATATATATATACATATATATATACATATATATATATATAATTTATACTTGTATATATACATACCCAAGCAGGTTCGCCACCAATAGCGTACAATTGATTTCTATAGGCAACTAAACTAAAACTGTCCCTTTCGGTAGACATTGATTCAATTGGTTGCCATTTATTACTTAAATTAGTATTTTGATTAAATTGATAGCATTTTGATTGGACATACATATCGCTAATACCGCCACAAATATAAAGTGTAGACTAAAATATAATAAAAACAAAAATTATATATATTTTTAAATTTTTAAAAAAAATATATTTTTATATTTACATTTGGATTATTGCTTGAATTTTTTGTTAACAATAATACTACATTATTAAAACATATGGATAGTATAGTTAACACTGTTAGATATAATACAAACATTTTTTTTTTAGTTTTTAGGTAGTTCAAATGTACAAAAATAAAAATTTTAAAAATAAAAATTAATAATTATTTTTGTATCTTATATAAAAATTTTTTGTAATTACTTTCTATTTATATAGTTACCTTGCAAAATCTATTAATCGCTATATCTATTTATATCAATCGATAATAATAATAATCAATATTTTCAAGTGTTAGTATATTTACAATATATATATATATATATAAAATATCTATTTTACAACAATTATTGATAAGATAATATATATCCTAATTTTTAAAAGTACAATATTATAGTCTATACATTTTTTGTAGTGTTTTTTTTTTGCATTATACAGTGTTGTCCTGTTTTTTTCCTGTAAACCATGTTATATCATACATATACTATAAAATAAGATTATAATATAAATTAAAAATTTTGTTAAAATTAAATTTATGATTGTTTAGGTATATATATATATATAAAAAAATTTACTATACTTTACTTTAGATATAAATTACAACTAAATAAACTTAATTTATATAACAGGAACATCGGGACAGAACAGGAGACTGAAATTACATCAACAAAAAAAATTTATACTCTATTATGTACTATAAATACCTATATATATACATTAATTTTTTTTTAAAAATAAAAATAATACAATAGATTACTAGAATTGTGCTTAAAAATTATTAAAACAAAAAATTTGTTTTTTTAAGTGTAACTTTCCTTAAAAATATTTAATAATTTCATTATTTAATAAATTCACCACACTTAAACTTTGAGTTATTATTATTATTACAATAAGAAAAATAATTATATAAATAGAATATAGAATATATATATATAATAAATTAATTATTAAAAATTATTTTAATAATTAAATTATTGTTGTTGTTTATTATTTTTCTATTATTGTTAAAAAAAATATGATAGTTTTATTTTTAACAGTTTTAACTATATTATTATGTTGTAGTAATAGTGCAGTATTGCTAAACAACAATATTACTACTAATACTAATAATACTACTTTTATGAAAAATCTAAATGTAAATTAAATTTATAAATAAATTAAATAATTTGATAAAAATAATATAAAACTATTTTACGGTTTAGTTTCCAATAAAAATCAATTGTATGCAATCGGTGGTTGGGATGTATGTATAATAAATAATAATTAAATAAATTAAAAAAAAATTTTTTAATTAACATGATACATAATTATTATTTTTTTGTTTATTTCAACGGGGTTCAAAAATTGTTGAACACTGTTGAAACATATAATCAACAAACAAATCAATGGCAATCAGTTGCATCACTGAGAATAACAAGCAGGTTTTTAATTTTATATATTAAAAAAATTAATTTTTTTAATAATTTTAAAAATATATTTATTTTTTTAATCAAAAAAAATATATTTAGAGATATTGGTGCTGCTGTACTTAATGATACTATATATGTTTGTGGTGGTAATAGCGGTAAAAATTATTTTTTTTTAAATTAATATATTAAAATTAAATTAGATTTTTTAATAAAATCAAAAATAATAAAACTATAACAATAATTAGTATGTTAAAAAAATTATGAACCTAATATTATAATTTTTAAAAAATTAATATCTAACTTAAATTAGATTTTCAATAAAATCAAAAATAATAAAACTATAACAATAATTAGTATGTTAAAAAAATTATGAACCTAATATTAAAATTTTTTAAAAAATTAAAAATTTGTTGTATTTTTTATAATTTTTATTTATAGGTTTTTATCTGAAATCCTGCGAATATTATCCCTCGGATATTATGGGTGAATGGATGTATTTAACACAACAAATGTCTACTGAAAGAGACGATCCGGAACTGATAGCCCATAGTAGTGGTGATGGCGGCTATCTGTATGCTATTGGAGGTAAAATTAATACAATGGTGCTCAAAATACAATGGAAAGATATGATACACAAACTAAACAATGGACACCAATGGGTAATATGCAAACATCTAGGTCAGCTATTGTCGTAGTTATTTTCACGAACTCCTGAAAGGAGTACGTACATGCATTCTAAAAGTCTGTCTGTCTTTCTGTCTTTCTATCTGTCTTTCTGTCTTTCTGTCTTTCTATCTGTCTTTCTGTCTTTCTATCTGTCTTTCTGTCTGTCTATTTGTCTGTCTATTTGTCTTTCTATCTGTCTTTCTATATGTCTTTCTGTCTGTCTGTCTGTCTTTCTATCAGTCTTTCAGTCTGTCTATTTGTACAGATAGAACAGATAGAAAGACAGATAGAAAGACAAACAGACAGACAGAAAGACATATAGAAAGACAGATAGACAGACTGAAAGACAGATAGAAAGACAGAAAAACATATAGAAATACAGATAGAAAGACAGATAGAAAGACAAACAGACAGACAGAAAGACATATAGAAAGACAGATAGAAAGACATATAGAAAGACAGATAGAAAGACAAACAGACAGACAGAAAGACATATAGAAAGACAGATAGAAAGACAAACAGACAGACAGAAAGACATATAGAAAGACAGACAAATAGACAGACAGAAAGACATATAGAAAGAGAGATAGACAGACAAATAGACAGACTGAAAGACAGATAGAAAGACAGACAGATAGACATATAGAAAGACAGATAGACAGACAAATAGACAGACTGAAAGACAGATAGAAAGACAGACAGACAGACAGAAAGACAGATAGAAAGACAGAAAAACATATAGAAATACAGATAGAAATACAGAAAAACATATAGAAATACAGATAGAAAGACAGATAGAAAGACAAACAGACATCTGTCTTTCTATATGTCTTTCTGTCTATCTATTTGTCTTTCTATCTGTCTTTCTATATGTCTTTCTGTCTGTCTATTTGTCTTTCTATCTGTCTTTCTATATGTCTTTCTGTCTATCTTTTTGTCTTTCTATCTGTCTTTCTATATGTCTTTCTGTCTATCTATTTGTCTTTCTATCTGTCTTTCAATATGTCTTTCTGTCTATCTATTTGTCTTTCTATCTGTCTTTCTATCTGTCTTTCTATATGTCTTTCTGTCTGTCTGTCTGTCTTTCTATCTGTCTTTCAGTCTGTCTATTTGTCTGTCTATCTGTCTTTCTATATGTCTTTCTGTCTATCTATTTGTCTTTCTATCTGTCTTTCTATATGTCTTTCTGTCTGTCTGTTTGTCTTTCTATCTGTCTTTCTATATGTCTTTCTGTTTGTCTTTCTATCTGTATTTCTATCTGTATTTCTATATGTTTTTCTGTCTTTCTATCTGTCTTTCAGTCTGCCTATCTGTCTTTCTATATGTCTTTCTGTCTGTCTGTCTTTCTATCTGTCTTTCAGTCTGTCTATTTGTCTGTCTATCTGTCTTTCTATATGTCTATCTGTCTGTCTTTCTATCTGTCTTTCAGTCTGTCTATTTGTCTGTCTATCTGTCTTTCTATATGTCTATCTGTCTGTCTTTCTATCTGTCTTTCAGTCTGTCTATTTGTCTGTCTATCTGTCTTTCTATATGTCTTTCTGTCTGTCTATTTGTCTGTCTATTTGTCTGTCTATCTGTCTTTCTATATGTCTTTCTGTCTGTCTGTTTGTCTTTCTATCTGTATTTCTATATGTTTTTATGGGCGGCTATCCGGGTAATTTAGTTAAAAAATTTTGTAATTTTTATTAAAATAATTTTTTTAATAGCTATTGATTCAGTGGAAATATATATTATCAAATAGCTGATCAATGGTATCATTCAATGCAATTACCTGTAAAACTATATTTTGGTTTTGGGGTAAATATTAATTAATTATAATTTTTTAATAAATAATTTGTATAAAATTTAATAAAAAATAATTTTCCAATCTTTTCCAAAAAAAAGGCTGCTGTAATAACAACATAATTATCCTGGGATATTATTGAAAACAGATTTTATAATAATAATAAAAAATAAAAAACATTCATTAAAAAAATATTTAAAATAATAAATGTGTTTTTTTTTGAAAATCAATATTATATTTTCTATAATTATTTTTTTTTAATTATTAAAAAAACAAAGAAAATAACTTTTAATTATTACTTAACAAATTAATCAAGAAAATGTTTTTATGTGTTTTTCAATTAAAAATATTGTTATAATAGATAATTATTATCAGGGTCATGGGTTCGAGGCCAATATATTTATCTTATATTACATTGTTTTATAGTGAAACAAGGTTTACTTATAAGTATTATTTTTTTTATTAATTTTAACTATAAACAATACTTGAAAATATTTTTTATTTAATTACAGATAAATTTAATTTTTGATATAATTTATAAAAAATAATATAAATAATAATTAAAAAAAAAACAAATTATTAATAATAGTTTGATTATAGTAATTTATCTTATCTAATGTGAAATTGATTAATAATAGAAAATTTTTTATAAATTAATTAAAACAATTAAACATTAAATTAATATCAATTTCATTAATTAAGCTTAACTTAAATCAATTTTGTGTTATTATTTCAATAATATATATATAACGATATAAATTTTTTTAAAAAAGTATATAAATACAAAATTAAACATAATAATAAATTAATAACAATATTTTCTAGTTAAAATCCTAGTTGTACATTGTTATTAACATTTCACTAAAATAATAATAATAATATGTTAGTTACATTAATAAAACTTTTAACTATATTATTATGTTTCAATAGTGTAGTATTGCTAAACAACAATATTACTGCAACTTTTATGAAAAATCCAAATGTATATTTTAAATTTAAAAATTTAAGAATTTTACAAAATTATTAAAAAACTTTTTAAATTTTTTATTTTTTTTTCTACAAATATTAGTCGACAACTAATAGTACAATTTATATTTGTGGCGGTAGTAGTGATGATAGTACTGGATATTTATCAAATTGTTATCAATATAACCAGCAAACAGGTGTTTGGCTAACAATTAAATCAATGTCTACTCCACGCTATGAATATCGTTTAGTATCCAATAAAAATCAATTGTATGCAATCGGTGGTTATGGTGTATGTATTTTTAAAAAATATTAATAATTAAATAACTCAACTAATACATATCCTCTATATTTGATATATATAATTTATTTTTTTTTTAATAAAAATTATCAGGGTACAAAATATTTAAACACTGTTGAAACATATAATCAACAAACAAATCAATGGCAATCATTGGCATCATTAAGAATAACAAGGAGGTTTTTGTTTTTAAAAAAAAAAATTATTTTTATAAATATTAATTTTTTAATAAAAATAATATATATTTAGTAATATAGGTGCTGCTTTAATTAATGATACTATATATGTATGTGGCGGTGAAAACGGTATAAATTAATTATTTAAAATAAAATCATTTATTAATTTTTAAAATAAAATTAATGTTTAGGTGATTATTTTTTTTTGGTAAATAATTTAAATAAGATTAATCAATGTTAAACTAAAAAATATGTTATTAAAAATAATTAAAATATATTAATATAATTTTTTTTTTAAAATATAAATAATTTTTTTTAAAAATATATTAATTTTTTAAAAAATATATATAATTTTTTTAAAAATATATACCATTATTTTAAAAAATATACAATTTTTTATAATAGAAATTTCACTTAAAGATCGCTTACTTAAATCATGCGAATATTATTCCGCAAATATTATGGATAATTGGTATTTAACACAACAAATGTTGACTGAAAGAGAGAGCCTAGAACTGGTAGCTCATAGTGATGGCTATCTGTATGCTATTGGAGGCTATAGTAATACAGGTACTGAAAGTACAATGGATAGATATGATACACAAACTAGACAATGGACTCAAATGGCACCAATGCAATCATCTAGGTAAGTTTTATTACCAAATTATCATGAACAAACTTATTTATTAAAAAAAATTTTTTTATGAAAATTAAGATTATTATTTTTAATCAACAGTTTATAACTAATATGTTTTAATTTTATCATCAAGTTTTTGTCAAGGTTCTTTAATTTATTATTATTATTATTTAAAAATTAATTTTTTATAGCTAAATTAAGTATATCTATATTTAATAATTAAGCTTGATTTTTAATTTATTAATAATTATAACTAAGTTTTATTATTATTTAAATCTTTAAAATAAAAATAAATAATTTTTAGGATACTTATATATTATATTATAAACTTATAAAAAATATCAATTATAAGTTATTACTAAACATAATGCTATAATTTTTTTATTATGGTTATTTTTTTAATTTATAAATTATTATTATTTTTGTATATTTTTATTTTACAATTTGTTATCTAGATTTATATAAACAGTTGATATATCTTTTTTTTGTATTAATTAAACTGGTTATTAATTAAATTTATTTTAAAAAATTATATTTAATTTTTTAGATATAATTTTGGTTCGGTATCATTTATGGGTAAAATATATGTTTGCGGCGGCGATGGTAGTAGTGATGGTAAAGCATGTGAATCGTATGACCCGAAAACAAATCAATGGACAAAAATTGGTATTTTTTTATTTTTTTTTTTAAAAAAATAATTAATAATTTTTGAATATATATATGAATAATATTTAAATTTTAGTTGATATTTTTTTTTAATTATATAAATATATAATTAGAATAATAAATTAATAATTAATAATTATTGATATTTTTTTTTAATTATATAAATATATAATAATAATAAATTAATAATTAATAATTATTGATATTTTTTTTTAATTATATAAATATATAATAATAATAATAAATTAATAATTAATAATTATTGATATTTTTTTTTAATTAATAATAGTTTTTAATTATTATAATTAATTAATTATGTTTTATTATTATTTGATAATAATTAATGCATTTTAATTAACAATTTTATCAAGCAGCATCAATGAATAGACCAAGATTTCAATTTAAACTAATAGTTTTTGATGATTTATTATATGCTATGGGCGGCACTCCAGGTAATTAATATAATAATAATTTATAAATTTTAAATATTTAAATAATTAAAAAATAAAATAAATATATTTTATATGTTATGTGCGTTCGCAATACTGATAATACTGATAATTTTTTTTTATACAAATTTAATTACAAAAACTTGTTAGAAAACATTTTAATTATTATTTTTTTTAAAATATTTTATTTTAATAGTTACTGATTCAGTGGAAATATACGATGAAAAAGCAGATCAATGGTATTATTCAATGCAATTACCGATAAAACTATATGGTTTTGGGGTAAATGTTAATTAATTATTATTATTTTTTGTTTTTGTAAAATTAATATAATATTTAAATAAATTTTTTTTAAATAATTTTTATTATTATAAAAAGGCTGCTGTAATAACTACATAATTATCCTATGGATATAATATTGGAAATTGGAATTTATAACTAAAAATTAAATATATAATAAAACATATTTTTAATTATTTTTTATTTTTAAAAATAAATTATTATTTATTTTCTTTATATATTTTTTATTATTATTAATTAACAAACTAAAATTAAAATGTTGATAATAATAATTAATTATCATCAGGGTAGAGGGTTCGAGGCTATTATAGATATATATTTATCTTGTATTTATTTATTGTAAAGTTAGATTTACTGTAATCAACATTTTTTTTATTGATTTTTAGTATAATATAATATTATTATAATTATTATAATTATTATTATAATTAATATAATGTTAATAAGATTATGATATAATTTATACTAGTATTAGTTAATAGTAATTATTAATTTTAAGTTAGTAAACATAAATTAATAATAATATTTTGGTTAATTTGATTATCTGATGGGAAATTAATTAATAGAAGAATTATATACTGTATATATATTATAAACATTATTAAGAAGTATATAAATTAAAATAAAATAAAATATTAATACTAATAATAATATATTTTCTATTTGAAAAATATAGTTGCAAAAATATTTACAATTTAATTAAAAGTTTTAACTATATTTCATATGTTATATTCACAATGTAATTTAAAACTAAATGAAAAATTAGTTAATAGATTACATGTATTGCTAATTACAGTATATTAAACATAATAATAATAATAATTAATTTAACTTATTTAAAATAATAATAATAAATTATAAATCATTTCAATCAAGTAAACATAATCTTTAGTAATACTAAATAAATACAAAAATGGTAAGAATATTAAATATAGATAATTAAAATAAATTTTTTTATACAGTACAGTACAGTAAAACTTATACATAAAGAAACATATAGAATAACACAGTTATATATATATATAAAAAGTAATTTATTTATTTATTTATAATAGTTAATATTAATTTAGTTTCTAAATAAACTATTATAAGTAAATTAGATAAAAAGTATAAAAATTTTATTTGTTTTGCAATTAAAAATACTGCTTACTAATTAATTATTATCAGGGTCGTGGTTTTTAGGGCCAATATAATAATATATAATTTTATTTTATAGACAATTGTTTTATAGTAAAAAAAGCTATACTGTTAATAAAATTTTTTATATTAATTTAAGTACTTTAATCTAATCTATAACTTATAGGTTATAAGTTAAAAAAAACTGTTTGTTATATATTTGATTTTGTATTTCATAGTAAATGATAGTAAAAAAAATAGTATATAAAAAGATTACGATTTTATAAATATTAAATATAAAAATTTAATATTTAATATAAGTAATCACAAAAATATACAATATATTTGTTATATTTTTGAAAATTGTTTGAAAAATGTTTGTTTTATTTATTTTAACAACAATAATAATAATAATAATAATAAATCTCAATAGTGCATTAATGTTAAATGAAACTATAACCAATGGAAAAAATTATTCAAATGTAAATCAAATTATTTTTATTAAATAAATAAAAATATTTTTATTTTTTTTAATTGAATTTTTTTTACTACTAGAATACAATTGATAATAGTTCATTAATTGTAATTTGTGTCGATGATGCGTTATATACAACAAATTGCTATCAACTTGATAATCAGCAACGTAAATGGCAATCAATTGAATCATTGACAACTCAGCGAGCAAATTTTGGTTTTGTATCTAGCAAAAATCAATTGTATGCAATCGGTGGCTGGAATGTATGTATAAAATAATTAATAAATTAAAAAATTTAAAATAAATTATTGCTATATTTTTTTTAGAAATATTATTATTAAAATTCTAAATAATTTACTACTTGCGTAAAATACAGAATTATATAATAAAAGTAACCGTATTTAATATACTGTATTTTTTAATACTAAAAACTTTTAGTAAGCAGTATATATTTCAATATATACACAAATACTGTATATATTTATCTTAGATTATTTTATCAAGGTTAATCGATTTGGAATTTTAGACGATGTTGAACAATACAATTACCAAACAAAAACATGGAAATCAATTGCATCTCTAAATAATCCTAACAAGTATTTATATAAAAAGATATTTAAGATTTTCATTTTAAATTTTAAATTTTGTTTTTTGTTTTGTATTTTTTTACATATATGCTAACATGGTTCTTTGTTCATTTAGTTATTTAGCTGCTGCTGTACTTAATGATACTATATATGTTTGTGGTGGTGGAAACGGTAAAAATAATTTAGAATAGTTTTTAAAATTAATAAACATTGTATTATTATTATATTACAGAATTATTATATTTAAATAAAATACGTTTATTTATTTATATTTTAACTTATAGATCGCATACTTAAAGACTGTGAATATTATTCAACAGTTATTATGGATAAATGGCATATTGCAACACCGATGTCTATTAAACGGTTTGGTCTGGAACTGGTAGCCCATAGTGATGGTTATCTGTATGCTATTGGAGGTAGAGTAGACAATACAGGTGTTGAAAGTTCAATGGAAAGATATGATCCGAAAACTAAACAATGGACACAAGTGGCTAATATGAAATCATCTAGGTTAATTGTCATATTATTTTCATGGACTAGTGTTTTTAGTAATTTAGTAATTAGTAATTAGTAATTAGTAATTTAGTAATTTAGTAATTAGTAATTAGTAATTAGTAATTAGTAATTAGTAATTAGTAATTAGTAATTAGTAATTAGTAATTAGTAATTAGTAATTTAGTAATTAGTAATTAGTAATTAGTAATTAGTAATTAGTAAAATTTCTTAATTATTATTTTTATTGTAAAAATTCAAAATTTTATAGATACACATTTGGTTCGGCATCATATATGGACAAAATATATGTTTGCGGCGGTTCGGGTAATAGTGATAGCAGTGAATGTGAAGCATATGATCCGATAACAAATCAATGGAGAAAAATAGGTTTTTTTTTAAAAAAAATTATTATAACTTTATTTAACAAATTTATTATTTAAAACTATCAATTATTAAATTAGTAAACTTTATTTAATTATCTATTATCAGCTTTTTTTTGGTGAATTTTCGAATTTATTAGTGGTAGGGGGCGGTCGAGCTATAGGGGTAGGTAAAATGGTTAAAAAAAATTTGTTAGGGAATTGGAGGTGAACAATTTGTATTGCATTAAAAAAAATAAATTTACAAAATTATTGAGTAATTTTTCTAAACAAATTTGCAATAAATTCCCAATAAATTTACATTAAATTTCCAATAAATTTACAATAAAAATTATTCATAAAATGTCCATCTCAGGGGGCGAGGGGTAAGTTGTCCTATACCTAACCTATCCCATAGCAATTCCATTAAATATATAAGCATTATATAACAAGTAATGACCGTTTTAGTACATCAATTTTTACGTTATTATTATGATGCAACTAATAAAGATAAAAATGTGATTCTTTTTAAATAAAAAAGGTCAATTATTTATATTTACATTTTACAATTATTTGAATTTAGTTTTTCTATATTTTACCAATTATTATCATTTTAGTAAAAGACATTCAAATTTGACTAAACAAATTTTTTAATTATAGTGATTATTTAAATGTTATAATAATAAATTCCAATGTGATAATATTTCATTAAATAATATTAGCCTAGATGATTGTTCAGAAAAGTTTTCAAAATTTTAATATTAATATTTAAAATTTTATAATAAAATAATTGTCAGAACTAAAGCTAAATTGTTTAGCATTATATTGTTACATATAATTGTTAAAAATCTAAAGTTATCATGTTATCCGTCTAACAATATACTTGACTTTAAATGCCACACTGTTAGAGCTAGCTTGTTTCTTCTTAATGACAAATATATAAAAATAAATATAATGACTTTTTGTAATTTGCTGAATCATGTACTATATCTTATAAAATTATGTCTAACTTTTTCTTTAAGTGAGATATATTTAATTTTCTTTCATGAATAGTATGTATATAAGTATCTACTAATGATAAGTAGAATTATAAAAAACAAATTTATATTTAAGTAGATAATTTTATCTTAAAACTAAAAAATTTTCGTTATGTGTGATAATTTCAACATATTTTATTATTTGATTGAAAATATCTATCAATTTTATAATTATTATATCAAATGACATATATACTAATATATAATAAATAGTTTATATTTAATATTTAAATTTTAATAAAAAAACAATTGAATTAATCTATGATGCTTATTTTATTTAAAAGTATGTGATTTAAAGAATTTAAAAAACAATAAAAGAGTCTGAATATAAAGTTATTGTTAGTTGTAAATATAGTCCTGTTAGTGTACTTTAAGATTAATTTTAAATTGTATTTTTAAATATTTGTTTAAACAAATTACAATTAAAACTATAACATGATGTAAAAAATGTCATTTTTACTTTTTTGCAAAAAATACATATGAAAAATTTTTTAAAATGACATTGTTTATTTACCTAAATATTAGGCGATAATCAATGAAACAGATGTAAATTTTATGATTTTTTATCATTTGTAGTTTTCGAATAAATTAACTTTAAAATTTGTTTTAATTTCGGACAGTTTCAATTGTAGAATACTTATATATATATATATATATATATATATATGTATATTATGATATGTTTTAACTTAATGATTAAATTTTTACTAATGTAAAATATATGTTTTGTTTTTTTTATCTTGTATTACTCACCAAAAAAATAATAAAAATAAAAGCACCAATGAATACTAAAAGAAATAATTTTAAGCTATTAGTTTTCAACAATTTAATATATGCAATGGGTGGCTATCCAGGTAACTAAATCAAATTTATTATTATTATTTAAATTATATTGTTTTAAAACTATTTAATATAATTATTGTTATTTTTTTAAATTAAAAAAAATAAGGTATTGATACAGTTGAAATATATGATGTAAAATCAGATAAATGGTATTATACACAATCAATGCCAGTTAAAGGTTATGGTTTTGGGGTATAAATTATTTTAATTATTTTTGATGATTCTTTTTTATAAAAAACTAAATTATTAAAATTAAATTTTTTATTTTTATTATTAAGGCTACAGTAATAACAACAACTACCACATAATATATTATGGTTTAATATTTAATAAATAAAATTCAACAAATTATCAATGTAAACTGATTTTGTTATAATCTTAATAAAATTAATTAAAAGCAAATAATGTTTAAATATAACAATAAAAAATATTATTTTATATTTTTAAAAAATTTTATCAAATTATAAATTTTGAAATTTTAATAATCAAATTATTATAATATAATTTTTACTTATTTATGAATAAGTTTAAAAATTTTATATTAGATATTAACTTAGTAATGAATTTGTAAACTGAAAAATATTTTTTCAAATATACCTTATTATTATTATTATTATTACATTTAAATCTATTGTCTTTATTACTAATTTTACTTGAATAATAATTTAAATAGTTTATTATTATTTATGATTTTTAAAATTATTATTCAATTATCAAAGAGCAAAATGTATTTATTTTATTTTTTTTAAAGTAAATAAGTTCAACAACAACAACAAAAATAAAATAGAAAGTTAGAAAATTAATTATCATCAGGGTCATGTGTTCGAGGCCATTATAGATATATATATATTTGTATTGTATTGTATTTGTATCGTCAAGTTAGATTTACTGTAAATAGTTTTCTTATTATTAATTTTAACTATTAAAAAGTACTTGAGTACTTGAATAATATTATTAGTTTTTTTTTTAAATTAAATGTCAATTTGATTATTGATATAATTTATACTAGTATTAATTACTAGTAAATAGTTAGTAAAAATAAATTATTAATAATAGTTTGATTAAATTAATTTATCTTATCTTATGTGAAATTGATAATTATAAAAGTTTTATATATATTAATATATATATATAGGAGTTTATATATAAGTTATTATTTCAATAATATATAATAAAATTTATAAAAAAAATTAAGTGTATAAATTGAAATTAAATATAATAAATATATAATAATAATAATAATAATAATAATATATTTTCAAGTTAAAATATTGTTGCAAAATTTTTTACTATTTTAAATTAAAATGTTAGTTTCATTATTAAAAGTTTTAACTATATTATTATGTTTGAAAAATGTAATATTGTTACATAAAAATCTAACTACTACTACTACTGTTATGAAAAATGCAAAGGTAAATTTTTTTAAAAATAATAATTAAATATTTTTTTTTAAAAATTGAAATATATAAAAAATAATTAATTTATTTCTAATATTAGTCTACAAATAATCAAAATAATTTACTATATATTTGTGGCGGTATTGATGACGGCTATGGATATCAATCAAATTGTTATCAATATAATCAACGTACAGGTGTTTGGCTAACAATTAAATCAATGTCTACTGTACGGGCAAACTATGGTTTAGTATCCTATGAAAATCAATTGTATGCAATCGGTGGTTTGATTGTATGTTTAAAAAAAATAATTATTATTAAATAAAATTATATATATATATATATATATTGTTGATATAATTTTTATTTTTTTATGTAAACAAGGATACAAAAACTTTAAACACTGTTGAAAAATATAATCAACAAACAAATCAATGGCAATCAGTAGCATCATTAAAAATAACAAGCGGGTTTTTATTAAAAATATTTATTTTCTAAAAATTAATTTTAAATAATTACTTTAAAAATATTTATTTAAAAAAAATTATTTTTAGTTTTACAGGTACTGCTGTACTAAATGATACGATTTATGTTTGTGGCGGTTTTAACGGTAAATTTATTTATTTATTACTAATTTTTTTTATTAAATATTTTTAATTAAAATAATTGGAAAATAAAAATATATATAAAAAGTATAGGAAAAATAAATTATAATATTTAGTAGTAATATTATTATATATAAAATATTTTTATTTATAAAGTATTATAATTAAATTCAAAAAAAAAATAACTCAAAAAATTATTAAATTTTTAGATATAGATAACTATCTTAATGTATGTGAATATTATTCCGCAAATATTATGGATAAATGGTTTACAACAACAACACATATGTTGACTAATAGATCGGCACTGGAATTGGTAGCCCATAGTAGTAGTAGTAGTACTGGCGATGGCGGCTATCTGTATGCTATTGGTGGGGCAAATGATACAGGTGCTCAAAATATAATGGAAAGATATGATCCCGTAGCTAAACAATGGCAACCAATGGCTAATATGCAATCATCTAGGTAAGATGATTTTAGGTCAATCTAGACTACTAGTTAACAGTGATAAGCTTTTTTTGATTTATTTAACTTTTAAAAATAAATAAATGTCTTTTTAATTTTAATCAAGCTACCTATACAATTAAGCTACCTATACAAGTATGTTTAATTTTATCAAGGTTCTTTACATACAAACTTAAAACAATGATATTTATTTTTTTTATCTAAATAAATTTTTATTTTATTTAATTGCATTACTAGTTTTAATTTTAGTATGTTTTAATTTTAATCAAAGTTCATTGCATAAATTATATATATTTTTTGCATATTGATACTTGATCACATTATCATAATTACCAATTTTCTTTATTATATTTTAAAATTAAAACGTTAGTTATTTATTAAGCTACATTTGTAAATATTTTTGTAACTATACTAATGTTTATGCTAGTGTATGCTCTAAAAGGTATCAAGTTTAATGATATATTTGATTATGATTGTTGTTTTATTTTGATTTTTTTTTTGTTTTTCAATTATTCATCTAGGTTAATAATTTTGTTGTTGTTGGATATTTATACATTATATTATACACTCATATAAATTAGCTAGCTAGATATTAATTGATAATTTATTAATAAAACATAATGCTAATAAATTTATTTTTATCAAGATTCTTTATATAAATTATTAATATTTTTTTCAAATTTTTATTTTACAATTTACCAATAACTAGATATTATTTTGGTTCAGCATCATTTTTGGGCAAAATATATGTATGCGGAGGTTTGGGTAGTAGTGATGCGGGAAAAACATGTGAATCTTATGAACCGAAAACAAATCAATGGACACCAATTGGTTTGTTATATAAGAATATAATAATTTTTTTTTAAAAAAAATTATGTTTTTTATTATTATATCAATAATTATTACAATTTTTTTTTTAATAATAACAAATTCATCAAAAAAAAAATAAAGCATCAATGAATCACCAGAGATATCAATTTAAACTAATAGTTTTTAATGATATTTTATACGCTATGGGAGGAGGTTATCCGGGTATTAATTATAATTAAAAAATAATAATTAAGTTTTAGTTAATTAATTTGTAATTAATTTTATTTTAAAAATATATAGCTACTGATACAATAGAAATTTATGATCAGGTAGTAAATGAATGGTATAATTTAATGCACCTACCAGTAAAACTAATTGGACTTGGGGTAAATTTTATTTTATTTTTTATTTTTTATTTTTTATTTATATATTATTAGTATTATATTAAATAAATATTTATTTTATTTTTGTTTTTATAAAAATAGGCTGCTGTAATAACAACATAATTATTTAATTGGATATTATTGGAAATTTATAGTTTATAACTAAATTAAAACTATATATACAATATATAATAAATTATTGACTATTTTAGTCATTTAATAATTTTAAAAATATTTACTATATATTATTAATGAAAGTACTAATAATAATTAAGTTAAAAATTTATGATTAATTCAATATTATTATTTACTTTGAATAACAATTATATATTAATCATAGTTAAAATTTTATGAAAATTTAATGACTATGTATTAAAAAATTTAATTTTATATAATTTTTTAAATTAAAAAAAAATATAATAAAACAATTTATTAAATGTTGTTTTGTTTGTGTATATTTGTGTTAGTGTGCGGTTACAGTATTGATAATCCAATCAATGTGTTTAGATATGCGTACAAATATATTACCAGAGTCGGCAACTTTAGGCGGACAGCCACTTGATTTGTCTGCCGGCCAATACCTTATACTTAAACCTATAAGTACTGCCCGTTGACTATCAAACTCATACTGAATCAATGGTCCACCCGAGTCACCCTAATTTTTATGAAAATATTAATATAATTCAAATTGAATTAAAATATTATTGTTTATTAATAATAGAGATAAAAATCAAACACCACACATAACTACACATAAACACACATACACAAGCATACACACACATACACAAACATACACAAACATACACACACATATACACATACACAAAAATATACACACATACACTCACACACAAATATAAACACATACACACACATACACACACATACACACACATACACACACATACACACACATACACACACATACACAAACATACACAAACATACATACACACACATACATACAAATAAATACGCACTCACACACATACACACAAATATACACACATACACATACATAACAACACAAAAAAATATACTTTTATTAGTAATTTATTATAGACTAACCGAACAGAGACCTAAGCCATCATTTAAAGGATATCTATTGCTTTTAATTAAATGATACCAAAGATCTGATACGTTATTAGTCGGTTCATTCATACGCAGCCAACCCGTACGCAATGGACCCAAATTTATGACATAATTTTCATCAATATTACCGAAACCGGCAAACAATGCCAACTCTTTATCGGTGTTAACACTGTCTCTATCGGGCAAACAAATAGCATTAACTGTCGGATATCTTCCAACCGTTGACTCTGTTGTTGTTGTTTTAGTAGTCATCGATATATTTGACGACAATTTCAATAATGCAATATCGTATGCAAGATCTAAACCGGGTATTGTTTTCATGAATTCCGTATAATTGGGATTAATTACATACATATCCACACCGTATGATTGACTATCGTATTGACTATAATCGTGAACTAGTCGTACACTTATTGTATTATCGATACTTAAATAATTAAAATACATAGTTTTTAAATAATATCTATTAATAAATATATATATATTGTTAAATATGTTTTAGTTTGGTTAACTAATAAAAGTTATTTATAAAACACATTTAATAATTATTATTTAAAAAAAATATTTTAATTACAATATACAATGCGCTGCTGTTATAATCCAATTGTTATTTAGTATAACTCCTGTACACCGTTTGCTGTTTAAAATTATTTATGAGATAAATTTTTTTAATTAATATTTAAAAAATATATAATTAATTTAAATATAAATATATATATATATGAAAATACTTGTCATATTTGAAACCCCAAAATGTTTTGTATATATCAATGATTGCAATCCAAGGCCACTCTCCCGGTAGAGCTAACCGTCCGTTTTGGACATTTGTGGTCACATTATTATTTGATGACCACTTGAAACAGTGGTTTACGCCGTTCATCAACAATGACTGCCGACTGATACCACAGTTGTTCTCAGTTACCGACGGGTAGTGTTTGATATTAATTGAATGCAAACCATTGGTTACAAACACAACAATAAAACCGAATATTATATAAGATTTCATATTTTTAACAAAAAAAACTAATAATAATATTAATACTTATATTTTGAAAATTATTTAATATTAATTTAATCAAAAATAAAATAAAATTATTGAAAATAAATACATAACATATAATACTTTATATTACATAAAAATATGATATTATAAGTTAAAAAGTATTTATTTTTTTTCTATTCAGTAATGCTTAATTTTAAAAATAATAAAATAAAATATGATATTTTCAAATATTGTTTTTTATAAATAATATGTAATATTAATCAATTAATACAAATACTATATAAAGATATTTAATTTAAAAAATAAAAGAAAAAATTAAAAAATATTATATTTATTTATTTTCATATAAAATATAATTGTTTAAAAATTTTTATTTATATTAATAATTTTTAACAATATATTAATGTTAGATAAAACAATAATTATTTTTTTTAAAAATATATTCAAATGTAGATAAAAAATTTAAATAATTTAAAAATAAAATATTAAAGTATAATAAGCAACACTATAATTAATGATTAAGTATTTAATATACACAAAAATAATTACAAATATTTTTTAAAAAAATACTAAATAATATATCATATAATGTTAATAATTATTAATTAAAAGTTTAAATATTTGCAAAAATAAATTTAAATATAGATTTACTGTATTAATACAATAAACATAAATTTTGTAATATCTTGAATAAAATATATATAAATCAATTTTTTTCAAAAAAAACTAGTTTATTATAATTAATAACTTTTTATATTACGATTAAAATATTGTTTTAGGCATTAAATGATTTAAATCTAAATGCATAATAATTAATGATTAAGTAAATTATTTTTATAAAAAAATAAAATTCTAGAAAATTAAAGATTTTTAAATTTTTAATTATGTATATTTTTATCAATTACAATTAAAATAATGATTAGTAAAATTAGTAATTAATTATGTTATAGTAAATATAGTGCAATATTAGTACTATAATATATATATTTATTACTAGTTGATAATTATTATAATTATTTTTTTCAAATGAAACTATTATTGATAATATTAAATTTAAAAAAAATATGATTACTAATAAAATTATAGCTAAAAATAATATCAGATCTATATATTTTATAAAAGTAATAATTAATATTAATTTTTTTTTTACTTAAATAAATAATATATTTAAATATCAATGATAATAAATATAGATTAATAGTTAACTTAAATTTTAGTAAAATATAGTTCAAATAATAAATTGATAAACATTTCAACTTTAATTTTACTTTAATTACTAATAATTTTTGTTTGTTTTATATTTTCAATTGATAATTAAATAAGATTTATTAAATCAAAATTTTTTTTTTATCAATTTCATGTTTACAGATACTTCAATTTTTTTTCTAAAAATGTTAACTAATTGTAAAGATAACTTATTTTTAAAAAATACTAAAATAACTTTTAAATTAAGTATTAAAATACAGTATATATATATAATACTATGCTAAATAGCAAATTTTAAAAATTTCATTATTATAAAAAAAATTTATTAAAAAAAATTTATTTTAAAATCTTTATCAAAACAATAAAATTAATAATTATTTAAAATGTATAAATATATTGCTTTTAATAAAGTAATAATAGATTGAAAAATAATTTAATCAATTTCAACATACTTAAATTAAAACTGATTTTTTTTAATCAATTTCAACTTGTTAGATTAATAATAATTCAACTTAAATTAGATTTTTATCTAGATAAAATTTATGCAATAAATATATCTGTATACAATGTATCTATATATATATATATATATATATATATATACTGTACACGCATAATATAGTCTATATAAAATTTATAGTATATAAATAAGTTTCAAAAACTTAAATTGATTTAATTAATAAAGTTATTATTAATACTTTAATTAAGAATATTTTTAAAAATAATTTTCAAACAAAATAAAAAAAAATGTTTGCAATTATATATACTTTAGTTTTGTTGAATACAATTATTGGCAATTTTAATGTTTACGGATCATTCATAACTAAACTACCCGCTAATGCTAACGTATTTTAATAATTAATTAATTATTTATTTATTTTTAATTTAATTATTAATTAAGATTATATTAATTTTATTAATTTTTTATTATTATTTAGACTACCAGTGCTATCTATCTGTGCGGCGGTTACGATGGATCTGTCTATCAGACCGGTTGCTATAAATACGATACCCGATCGGGTGATTGGCCACCAATGCAACCAATGGACACTAGTCGGGCATATTTCGGGTTTGTTGCGGCCAATAAAAAATTGTATGCAATTAATGGCTGGAATGTAAGTATACTAATAGTTTAGTTGTAATTATTTTATTTTGTTTAAACTAAAAAAAATATTAAAAATAATATTTTTAATTATTTTTTTTAATATTATTATTATTTTTATTATCAGGGTAAGGAAATTGTTAATACAGTTGAATCATACAATACGCAAACAAATCAATGGAAATTAGTGGCATCGTTGAAAAATAGCCGAGAGTATATTTTTTATAATTAATTATTTATTTATTTTAATTACAGAAAATTAAAATTAAAATTTAGATATTAATTAATTAACTATTTTTTTCTATTTTATTTAATCCCTCTGTAGTAAGTTTGATGCAGCAGTTATTAACAATACTATCTATGTTTGTGGCGGTGAAAATGGTAAATTAAATTTAATTTTAATATTTAAATTTTTAACATTATATTTTTTAAAAATAGTAAAACTAATAAATAATAAATAATTTAAATTATATTTTATGAACTAAAAAATTCTATATATTTTTTCTATTTAGAGGATACATGCGAATACTATTTGGATAAAAATTTATGGGAATTTAGTACACCTATGGGCGAAAAACGGGAGGGTCTGGCACTGGTATCTAACGGTGCGTACTTGTATGCCATTGGCGGCTACGATGGTTACAATTATCTATCATCGATGGAAAGGTATGATCCAACATCTAGACAATGGGTACCAATGAAATCAATGCATTCAACAAGGTTAGTTAGTTATTATTATAATTAATTAATTAATTATTTTTTTTTAATAATTAATCATGTTACATTTATTAGGGCATTTTTTGGTGCAGCATCATTTAAAGATAAAATTTTTGTATGTGGTGGTCACGGCACCGGTACAGCCATTTGTGAATCGTATGATCCTAAACTAAATCAATGGACACCAATAGGTTAGTGATGTAATTAATTAGTAATTAAAAATAATAATAATTTTTTTTTTGATTTAATTAAAAGTAGGATTAATTAATTTAATTATTAATTATTTAACTAGTATAACTTCTTAGTTAAATAATTAATAATTAAAATAATTAACCTAATCCAATTATTTCTATCTTAGTCTAATTATTATTATTATTATTATTATACTATATTTCTACTTGCTAACAATTTATTTTTTTGAAAAAATCAATTAGCATCAATTAAAGATAAACGATTTGATTTTAAATTGATTGCATTTGAAGATGAATTGTATGCATTTGGTGGCTATTCAGGTATTTTCTATTTTATTCAATTAATTAATTAAATATTTAATTATTATTTTTTATTAAAAAAAATTAAAATACAATCTATTATATCAATAGATTACGAGATAAGCGATACGGTTGAAGTATACAATTATTTAGCCGATAAATGGGCTAAATCTAAACCATTGCCACACAAACTAATGGATTACGGGGTATATTATTATATAATACTAATGTAGTTATTATTTATTTTTTAAAAAAATAAATAATTATATTTATTTTTTTTCAATTAATAGGTTGCTGTTCTTTAAACTGAAATTGAATTAAATTGTTATTTACTAAAAAATTAATATTAAAATTTTTTAATATGTTTATTAAACAAGAATATAATTACTATTTTATAATTTTCTTATTTTATTAATATTTTGTCAAAAAAACTTTTCAAATTAAATTTAATAAAAAAAATTTGTACTGCATTAATTTTTTTGTATTGTTAATTTAATTAATTTGTTTAATAAAATATTAAATAATATGTCATATAATGTTAATAATTACTCATTAAAAATTTAAAAATAATAAAATAATATTTGCAAATTTATGTACAAATGTACAAATAAACAAAAATGCAATATTAGTATTTAGAAAAATAAACTTGCTTTATTAATTATTTTTTAAAAAACAATAATTTTAAATAATAATAAAAAAATTATTGAAAATGTTTTTTCTTTAAATTAAATTACCATATCAATTATATCGCCCGATTTTAAACCAAGTTCACTTAATATTGTCGATTTAAAGCTTAAAGGGTCTACAACTAAATTTTTACCCAAACGTATGGCTGTACCATATTTTATGGTTACTTTACTACTATTATTAGTTTTTTGTTGAACAATACGATCAATTTGATGAAATAAATCAATGATTAGTGTATTATCAAGTGCTACTAAATGATCAAAATTATTGGTTTTATGGTTAGTATGTCCGACAATACGTATGGTTAGATATTCTTGACATTTATCCTTATTATTATTATTTGTATTATCACTAATTATACAATTTTTTACGCATTTTTCTATTAGTTTTACTTTTTTTTATAATTTTTATCGCACTCATAGATAGCCCCATCAATACATTGCGATTGAAATATAGCTCTATTATTGGGATTGTTTGGGGTTTTCTTGATGTTGTTGTTGTTTTTGATGTTAAAACAATATTGACCTTTAATTTTGCTTTTACATAGACAAGTTCCTTAAATTTTCCAAAAAAAATAAAAATAAATAAAATGATTAAAAATTAAATTAAAAAATTATTAATAGAAACTAATAATTTATTAATCTTTGAACATTTAATTTATATATATAATTATAATTTGATTACATATAACAATGTGAATTTTTTTTAAATAGACAATTAATTATATATAATAAACTTAATAATTTAAATAAAACTATTACTACTTTGTAATTATTTTATATTATTATATAATAATAAGTGGTTTTGTTTATATAAAATATATTTAAAAATTAATTAAATATATTTTTTTTTAAATTTTTAATTAAAACAAAATGGTTTTATAATAACAAAAAACATATTTGATTTTTTTTGTTATAATAAGAGATATATATTTTACAATAATTATACTTATTAAAATTATATATATATTTTTTGATTATTTTTTAGATTATTTAGTGTTTTTTTATAAATAAATAAATATATATATATATATATTTAATTATATAATTACCTTGAAAAATCTCCCCCATATTTAGTTCACTATAAATACAATTAAATGATAAAATAGCGATAATTGCATTAATAATAAATAATTTATTCATAATTATATTTATAGATTTTTTTTCGACTTTAATATAACAATCGGTATATAATTAATGACTAAATAAAAATTAATTAATTTTTAGCTAAAAAAAATAAAGTTAATTACTTTTTTAATTAAATCATAATTAATTCTATTAATTGTTTAAGTAATAATTTTTTTTTAAAAAATCATCAATATTTTTTTCGAAATATAATAAAATCTCTAATTTATTGTTAATATTACATAATATATATTTAAAATACTAACAATTTAAAAAAATATTTATATAAAATAATTATACTGAAAAACACTACTAAAAAACTAAAAAATTATATTTTTTTAATAAATAAACTAAAAAATAACTATAGTTAAACTGTAAAACTTTAAATAAACTTTTTTTTATTACTAATCAAATATGATGTTATTTTAATTGACCAGTGTACAATAATTAGATTTAAGTAATATTTTTTAGTTATCATATAAAAAAAATATATAATTACAATAGAATATAATTTGATATTTTATCATGTATGATTTTTTACAGATAAATAAAATATTTAACAATATAATAATAAAATTATAACAAAAAATTTTTTATCATGTATGATTTTTATGATCATGTTATGCTTATGTTTTTAACTTTGTGTACATATGGGTGTGTATATATTAGTATATTTAACAATGTATCTATCAGCTTTATTTTTAACCAATTATAATTAATTAGTAATTAAAATAATAATAATATAACTAAGATAGAATTTTTTTTTAAATTTAATTAAAAGTATGTTAACAATTTGTATTATTTTTTTTTGTAATAATTTTATTACTTTATTGTTAAATATTTTATTTATCTGTAAAAAATAAACAACAATATTAAATTAAAAATTAATTATTATATTTTTACTTTATTGCAGTAATCTATTTTATTTCCAACATGAACTTTGATATTTTTAATTAGTTTTAATTATTTATTAATCAATATAAATCTATATTTTATCATTAATTAAACTTATTATTTTTATGAAATATTTTTGTAAAATTATCAATAATTCAATTAATACATTTAGTTATTGAAAGTAATTATTTATTTAAGTTTTTTTAATCTCAAATTAGATTTTATTAAAAAAATATTATCTGGCTGATTTAACTTTATTAATTAACTTAATTTAATTTCAATTTATAATATAAAACTATATTTTTAAATTAATTTTAAAAATTTAATATTTAAATATTCAAATTTAAAAATAATGTTATGTAAATAAAATAATAAAAATCAAATCAAATAATTAAATATTAAGTCAAAGATAAAAAAGTATTATTATTTTTTTCTAAAATTATTTAAAATAAATATTTTAATTGTTTATAATACTTGAAATATGAAAGATAAAATAAACATACAATTTTTTTAATTAACTTAAAAGTCAAGTGTTTATTATAAATAATTTAATATCTAATTTATAAAAATAAAATATATAATAAAGTTATTTTTTGTTAAATATTTTTAGCTTATCTATCATAATATGTTTTTAATTTAGTAATTGTAATAAATTAGATATATTAATACTTAAACTTTGAGTTTTTATTTCAATCATTTACTGATATATTTTTACCTATAAAAATAAAACACTAAAATGTTTAGTAATAAATTTTATTAAAATATAAAAAATAAATTATAGTTGTTTATTTTAAAAAAAAAATGTTTATTTCATTTATAACTGTTTTAACTATAATACAATGTTTTAACAATGTACTATTGTTTAACAAAAATATTTTATCTACTACAAATATCAATAATCAAAATGTATAATTAAAAAATTTAATATATTAAAAAAATATATTTTATAATAATTTTTTTATTTAAATAATTTTTAGTCTCGAAAAAATAGTTCAATTTATATTTGTGGCGGTTTTGATGAAACTGGATATACATCAAAATGTTATCAATATAATCAACACACAGCGGTTTGGCAATCAATACAATCAATGTCTATTAATAGAGAAGATTTTAGTTTAGTTTCATATAAAAATCAATTGTTTGCAATCGGTGGCTACAGTGTATGTATAATAATAAAATAATAAAATTTTATTTAAAAAATTTTGATTAGTCTATAAGTAGTGTTGAATCATACGATACTATGACAAACACATGGAAATAGGTTGCATCTCTGAGATTATCAAGCAAGTTTTATACTTTTTAATTTAAAATTTTTAAAAATATAGATATATTTTCTATAGAATAAATGTTTATTTTTTATAATTGCTTAGTTATATAGCAGCTGCTGTACTCAATGACACTATATATGTTTGTGGCGGTAGAAATGGTAAAATTTTTATATATATTAACTAATAATTTAAAGTAATTGTTATTTTAGTTTATATTATTTATTATTGCTAATTTTATGCAAAAAATAGATAAATTTAAGTTTATTTTTAAAAAATAATTAAGTTTTCTAAATAACATTAAGCACACTATTGGTTTATTTCTATTAACAATTTACTATTAGTAAGTTTTAATTTAAATTTATTATTATTTTTATTTTGTATCTATAGATCATTATCTTAAAGTATGTGAATATTATTCACCAGATATTATGGATGAATGGTATTTTCAGACACCAATGTCTATTGAACGACAGGGTCTGGAACTGGTAGCCCATAGTGATGGCTATCTGTATGCTATCGGTGGTCATAGTAATGATGATTACTTAAGTACAATGGAAAGATATGATACACAAACTAAACAATGGACACCAATGGGTAATATGCAATCAAAACGGTTAGTATAGATTTTTTTAGTTAAATAAATAAAATTTGAAAAAAATTATTCACTTTTTAATAAATTTTAATATATATAWATTTTTTATGTGTGTGTGTGAAAAATACATAAAAATTAATAATAAGTAATTATAGTTTTATATTGTAGTGTTAAAGTTAATTAAACTTAATAATTATTATATATAAAATCTTTTATAAGTATCTTATCTATTAATTAAAATTTTTTATGAAACATTTTCATAATATTTATAATAAAAAATATGTAAATATTATGATATAATTAAATATCTAATAAGTTAAAAAAATAATTATATAAAATTTTTATATAAATAAAACAATAATCAGTAGTATCACCTTAAAAAATCAAATCATATCAAATCGTTAACAATTATCACTAATCACTAAATGATTGATGTGATTACATTTAAAAAAATAAAATAATCAAAAAAAATCAATAACAAATTAAACATTTTATAGATATTATTTTGGTTCGGCATCATATATGGACAAAATATATGTTTGCGGCGGTTCGGGTAATAGTGATTCGAAAACATGTGAATCGTATAATCCGAAAACAAATCAATGGACACCAATTGGTTTTTAATTTATTTTTTGTTGTTTGCTAATAAATTTATATGATTTTAGATTTATTAGATTAAAATACTTTTAGATTTTTAGTATAATTAATTAATATATAATAATTTTTTTTAAATATTATTATTTTTTACAAAAAGCATCAATGAATGATCCAAGATCTTACCATAGACTAATAGTTTTTGATGATGTTTTATATGCTATGGGCGGCGAACCGCGTAATACTAATTTTTTTTGGAAAAATTATATATAATTTTTTTTAATTAATTATTTTTTTTAAAAAAAAAATAAGTTACAAATACCGTTGAAGTATACGATTATCAATTGGATCAATGGTATCATTCGCARCCATTACCGGTTAAATTASMWGAATTTGGGGTAAAATAGATGTTTTTTATTTTATTTTTTATTATTATATTATTTATTTAATTAATTTATTGTTGTTAACATTATTAAACTGGTAATAATTTATATCTAATTAATATTATTTTTTTATTATTGTCTCATAGGCTGCTGTAATAACAACCGATAATAACTAAAATAAAGTTATTTAATGAAATATAAAACATATTTTATCTAAAAATGATTTATTTATCATCTTGTTTAATTAATTAATAATTTTTATGATTGAGTTTATGATTATTTGAATGATATTTTTATTAATCTAAATAAGATAAAATGAATAAAATTTATATAATTAATTTTTTTCAATTAAACACTAAATGTTATAACATGTTCTATGTTTTATTAAATAATATTTCAGCATTTTTTAGTTCAGATTTTAATATTTCATAAATTAATTTTTTGTTATAAACTATAATGTTGATTATTATTTATAAAAAAAATAATTTATTATTAATACTACTGTTTTTTTTAATGTGTATGTATGTATGTGTGTTTAAGTGTGTGCAAATTATTGTATATATATTTATATTGGAAACATTTTAATAAAAAATAATGTTAACTTAAAAATGTTTAAAAAGTAATTTTGTTAGTAAAATCAAAATTAATAAACATTCAAAAAAATATGCATCTATTATCAATAAAATTATTATTACTATTTATTATAAAATAAATGTAATAAAGCACTTGAATTATTTCTAAAATCATTAATTAAATTAAATTAAATTCATAATTATTATTATTGCAATGTGTTGTAACTCTCATAATGATAATTAAATTTAATACAATTATAAAGTTATTTTCATTATTTTAACATTACAACAATATATTTTTTAACAATTTTTATTATGTTAACAATAAATATTTTTATACAATTATATTAATATTATTTTTACATTTATAAAAAATAAATTTACATTTAATAGTATATTAAATATTTAATTATATATTAATATTTAATAATATATTTAATATTTAATAATATACTAATATTAAATAATATATTTAATATACAATTAAATATTTTAGATAAAAATAAATTATAAATATATGTCAAAAATAAAATATATTTTTTTAATATTTCATTTTTTAAAAAAATTATAACCTCTACCACACCCTACTCTACACTAC